CACTAATTCTGTGCCACCTGGCTGCCCCTTCCCTCTGAGCAGCCCACCTCCACATGAGGACAAGTATTTGTGCCTGGCACCATTTGTTTGGTTTTTTTTTTTGGCATAACTAAAGCTGATGATTCGTGTACAACACCCCAGGAGAGAGCAATGAATCAATTGTAAAAGTGTAAAAAATGGGCTTTGGTGATCCGTGGGCTCTACCAGCTCCTGAGTGAGAAATGGCACAGCTGATGTGTGTAATGTAACAGGAGAAAGAGGTCGCTGAAACGTGCCCCCCCTGCCAGCAGCAGCTGGTGCTATGCCAAGAGTAACCCTAGAAATTCTCCATAAAAGAGCACTTTGACTCAGGTTCTACTAAGAAACCCAAGGAAAGCAATCCTACACCTTGCTAATCTCTGCATCTTGGTAAGTGCTGGAGTTGGGGCTGGTCTGGGGAAGCTGTGATTTAAGAAAGAAATGCTGTGTATTTGGCTGCTCTGGAAATGTAGCAACGTAGGTGAAGGATCCTGGAGTGCTGAGGATTTGGCTGCTGGTGGGGGGCCAGCTGCATACAAGGGTTAGAAGGGTGGCACTGTGTGTGGGGAGGGAAAGGGGACCACCAGGAGGTGCATGGATCAGGGCATGGCTATAAGAGACCAAAGTAGTAACTCAATCTCCCCTAATCCGGGCTGGGAGATGTGGGTACACTTTTAGTTGCCCAAATGAGGAGAGCATTGGCTTCACCCCAGTATGGGGAGCAGGGAGATGACCCCACCTCCAGACTTGTGGGACAGATTCTGCTCCCCCTGGGCAAACTGCAACCATCAAATCCAGTTTGTTAAGTCCTAGTGTACAGCAGCCTCAGTGGAATCTAAAGTTCTTGCATAATGCAAATTGTATCAGTTGTTAATGACACCAGAGATAAAGCATAAAATCTTTATGGGCATGCCCTTTAGGGGCAAGATTTCTTCCTGGCAAGACCTGGATACAGACAAGTCTGTTAAGCTCTTAACCTCCAGCTACAATAATTGCATTTAACCTTACCCTTAACCTCCACAATAACTGCATTCTTATCAAAAAGTTTGAAGTCTAAATGTTTTAAGAGGCGAACACCATTCCTGCTTTGCTGTTGTCCCTAATTTGCTCTTGCCAAATGTGTCCGGCAGGGAATTCCTATCCTTACCAACCAAGCAAGAAGCAGATAAAAGGGACAGCAGGCGCTGACCATGGCCCCTGGCGATGTGATGTTGTGCAGGGTGACAAAGGTCCTCCACCAGCCCCCTGCCCGGGGGGCTGAGCCTCCCTCCTGCAGCCAGGAGAGAAAGGGATCCCCTCTAAGGAATCCCGGTTCAACCTTTTCTTCCCAGCAAAACTGCTGCAAACGCCGTGTCCCGAGGCAGCTCTTTATACCTGTGTTGATGTCCTGGCGTACCGGTGCTTTTCATGGCTTATTTATTAACTCCCACCCACTTCTGGAAACACCTAGCCACTCCCTTCATCCTCACCTATCCCAGGCGTTTAAAGCATTGAACGGATGCTAGAAATAGAGACTTGGCCACAGAGCGCCAGAGGAGACAAACGGGCACTGGAGTCGATTTACAAAAGGAAATATTTCCCAGCTCGCAGCAGCATGAAAAGCCCTGGGTGCGCTCCAAGGTAAGGGCAGAGGGAGCTGAATGCTTGGGGTGCTGAACAAAAACTTGTTTTGCAGGAAGCTCTGGTTCAGGTCATCCCTGGAAGTAGTTAATAACCTATAGTTAGTTACAATTTGCTGCAGGGAAGGGATTAATTTTGCCATTAGTGTTTCTTGCCTGTGTTCCAGGTCTTTCAATTTAAAAGAACCTTGTTCGTTTGTTGCAGATGTCTGTTATTTTCAGTAAGCCAAAGGAACGAGAAGGGGGTCCCGAGCCTTAAAGCATCTATAACTGCACCTCTAAGAGAGGTTGATTTCCATGTTTTCTTCCCAGAGGGGAGATAGCACAGCAAAGGTGGAAAGGCAAGTGGCACCTCTGGCACCAGCCCTGCCAAGTGCTCCGTGGGTTTTTTGGCTTCTTAGAATTTTGTGTCTTAGCAGTCAGTTCCCATGTACTGCTCAAAGGTCTTCCAGGCTCCTTCAGGTAACTTCAGTACAGCATTCAAATCTGGATTTTCTCTCTTGAACTTTGCTTCACCAAATCTTAGAGATATTTTGCAACCTAAATAATTCCATGATGCTGTGCAGGTCAGAGACTTGCCGTGTTGTGACAAAGTGGAGTGTGTGACACTAAGGGAACACAGCTTAAAGCTCTCACAGAGATTTGCCAGGGTGGTGGGGGCCAAGCAGGGGTGAGACCCCAGTGCAGGCTTGCAGACACAAAATCAAAATATTCTGAGCTGGAAGGGATCCATAGGGATCATCGAGTGCAACTCCTTGTCCTGCAAAGGACAGCCTCAAATGCCACACCAAGTGCATGAGAGCATTTTTCAAATGCTTCTTGATATTCTCATAATTTCCATTACATGTATTTGAAGCATAGAGTGCCTGAAATGTAATCATTCTCTGCAGAATTTCAAACAGTTGCCATGTCTTACTCATTCTGGAATGAATGCTGGAAGCAAGGTCTGTAGCAAATCCCGCACTGGCCCTGTGCTGTTTTCTGGGAGGGCAGTCACACTGTGTTCAAAGTACTATGTATGCTCCAGGTAAAGATCCTACATGATTTCTGTCAGTAAAAACCTTGAAATATTTCAAGAGCTCATTTGCTTCCAAGCACAAGATGTGCAGAAATGATGGAGGCTTGTTGGAAGAGGAGGGAAAGGTGCCATCAGTTTCCTCTGTGACAGATTTGTTTATTCAGCCACCTTATTCCCACAGTGCGTGTGGGGATGTCACGCTGGAGCCAGTGACAGCCCTGTGAGTGCAGCTGTGGGTGGCCAAGCCCAGGGGGTGATGGGGACAGGACTCCATGAGTGCACTGGCCTGCACCCTGTGTACCTGCAACCCTCCTCTCATCCCCAGGGTCTCCATTTTCCCACACTCCTCCCTGGGGATCCCCTTGATTCCTGCCCTTTGCTCTTCCTCTGGACCTTCCTCGCTTGGCTGGGCTGAGGTGCAGCAGAGTTCCCTCCATGTCACCACTCTCTGCTTGTTCCCTGGGCTGGAAGGCAGATACCTTTCCATCCATCCATCCATCCATCCATCCATCCATCCATCCATCCATCCATCCATCCATCATCTTTCCATCCATCCCAGGCACAGGAACCAGCACCAGGACCTGATAATTCATTGTTTGTCACCCCTGCTATTTCTGCGTGGGGACTGGCACGTGCACAGACCGTGTCCTGCAGAGATCAGTCACTCTTGCTCCTAAAAACTGACCATTCCAGGAAGAAATATTTTTTGGCCTAGATAATTCAAACCTTCATTCCTCCCTGTGTCTCCAGGGATAAAATCTAGCTGTTGTTTGGTTTGGGGCATGTCCAGACAAAATGGGTTTCTGGGAGCATTCAGTTAGGCTGGATATGGGCTCGGTGTGCTGAATGTGTCTGAATATTTGGAGGCAGGATGGCCCCATGTAATCCTTTATTTAAGTAAACAACTATTAAAATATTGTGGGCTGCCTTGAGGTGATAAAGTGCAGAGGTCTACAGAGCCTGTCTTCTTGTAGCAGAATGGATTGATAGTTCTTCTAGAGCATTTTGTGATCTGGATCTGCCTTCAGGATGATTTTGGGTAGATGGGATTTGTTTGCCCCATAAAATATCATCAGAGTTGGCATTTTGGGGGCACTACCTAAATTAATAAATGGACTGTTACTGCACCCATTAAACTCGACAGAAAATGTGCAGCAGGAGGATGTCAGCTTAGGCAGAACCTCCAGGCAGGCAGGGTGATGTGCTTTGGAAAAGCATCAGATAAAGGACAGCTTCAGTTTAAATGAAAGGCCAAGATTGGTGCAGGGGCTGCGTGTAGCCTGCTCGCTGCCCATGTGCTCCTCTGATTTCTCCTCCCATCTCATCTCTAAGGACAGGGGATTGTCCCACTCCCCTCCCCCTAACAGGCCTGAGGCCAAAAATTTAGGAAATCCTGATAAAATCTTGCCTGCAGATCTGTCTTGAAACTCTTTGAGCAGAAGTTGTGCTGCAAATTCCTGTCAGAGCTTGGTACCAGCTATGGATGGGGGTCTTCCCTGGCTTTGGGAAGGGCTCTTGGAGGAAGGCTTGAAGGCTTCCTTGCTCCCTTTGGAGAGTGGAAACCACAAGTGTGACCATACCATGCTGTAAATTTGGATTATATTTTCTCAAAACAGTATAAAGGCTGAGCCAGATCTGCTACATTTTGCCCATGTCTGCAAATACGAGATTCACACAGAGCTAAAAAAGCTTCTAGGGTGAGAGAAGTCAGATCAAACTTGTTGGTGAAAAATTCCTTTTAGGTAGGCTTCAAACCTTCAAAAGATCCCTTCTGAGTCCCAGCTGGAGTACACTGGTTATCATGGTATCATAGGATTGTTTGAATTGGAAGAGACATTAATGATCATGCCACTCCAACCCCCTGCAATGTGCAGGGAACCTTTGATACATCATGGTTGCTTAATTAGCGCTGGAAAATACTCCACCCTCATCATTATCCACCCTCCCCCTTTTCAAAGTGAGGTGTAATAAAACCATTACAGGTTCTGTTGGGTTATTTGATTTTCTGCCTTGAGAAATCATATTTATATTGCAAAAGAACCTCAGTTTAGTGGATTTTTTTCCTTAGTTTAGTGGGTTTTTTTGCAATCCCCATCTTCTGGAGTGATGTGATTACAGGAGCTGCTCAGGTTTCTTGCCAGGGAAGTCTTTATATCCCTACAAAGGGCTCGTTTTCTGGTGAATAATCTAGGAGTTTGAATAGTGAATAAGCTCTAAAGCCCCAGAAAACCAAAAGAAAAGCAAAACAAAAGGCAGCCAAGCAGAGCAGGAGGCTGTGGGAAGAGCTTAGGCTCTGCCTGAAGCACATTGTGTCTTGCCAAAGGCTGAATTAGGAGAGTAAAAGTGAAAGTGCAATTTCTCACTGTCTTGCCTCTAACACAGCTTGGGGTCCAAAGGTGGCTGCCAAAACTGAGATTTAAAACTGTGCTCACATTGATTAAAGTTCCCAAGGGCAAGATGTGAAATGCGGTGGTTTGGAGAAGGACTATTGGATAAAAATCCACTGAAACTTATTTTTTTTCCCAGGCATGCCAGGTGTCTCATCATTTTCAGTTTCTGCCTGGGACTTTCCTGCCTCTCAGGATTCCTCCATATGAAGAATAAGAATTACAGGTGAGTCAGAAGCAAGGCTGCACAGTTTCCTGTACCTGGAGCAGCTGGGACTGATCTCTGACACCTGATTTATTTCTCATGAGGCCTTGGGTTGATGTTCAAAGGGTGGTGGCTCAAAACTAGGTCTTAGATCTGTGTTTGGGGAAGGAATTGATTTAGCCAAAGTGCAGCCTCTTAGGGACCAAACCAGCTGTGCAGGGAAAGGGGATTAAGCTAAAGTCTTTGGTAAATGAGAATCTGGAGAGGGGGAAAACTGGAGGGGGAAAACCTCTACACTAAGGGTTGGGGCTGACTCAGATAAAGCCTTGGACCATCTGCAGGTGTGGTGTCAGAGGAGCACCTGGGTGTGGCTTTGCCAGGTCTCAGAGATGGGGTGCAGCACCAGAGAGTCTCTTTGCCCCATGTGTCACCTTCCTGCAGCATCTCGAAGAGCCACGAGGAGCTGCTGATCCCTCCCACGCTGTGCCATGCCAAGACGAACGTCATGTTCCTCAAAACCCACAAGACTGCCAGCAGCACTGTGCTCAACATCATGTTCAGGTTCGCAGAGAGGTACAACCTCACTGTCGCCCTCCCTGCTGACCAGCTCTTCCACCTGGGATACCCAAGGACTTTTGTGGCCCACTTTGTGGAGGGCTTTGAAACCATAGGCCAAAATTACAACATCATGTGCAATCACCTGCGGTTTAACCCCTTGGAGGTAAGAAAGAGCCATGACACCTGAGGAGAAACTTGGTTGGGACAGGACTAACCTCTTCTTCCTTCCACAAATAGGTAAAAAAGGTGATGGCAGCCAACACTTTCTACTTCTCCATCCTGAGGAACCCCATTCTTCTGCTGGAGTCTTCCTACATCTACTACAAGGACTCTGTGCCTGCCTTCCGGAGTTCCAAGAATGTGAACGAATTCCTGGAATCACCCACAAAGTATTACCACCCAGCAGATTACAGGAAAAACATGTACGCCAGGAATATCATGTGGTTTGACTTTGGCTACGATAACAACGCGAAGGATGACAAGAACTACACCCAGGCTGTCCTGGAAGAGATCGAGCAGAACTTCCACCTCATCTTGATAGCAGACTACTTTGATGAGTCCATGATCCTCTTGAAGCACACTTTGTGCTGGGACCTGGATGATGTGATTTACTTCAAGCTCAATTCCAGAAGCCAGGACACTGTCCAGACGTTGACTGCGGAAAGCGAGGAGCAGATAAAAGTGTGGTGCTCGCTGGACTGGAAGCTCTACTTGCACTTCAACCAGAGCTTCTGGAGGAGAATTGAGCAGACCATAGGGCTCAGGGTGCTGGGAGAGGAGGTGGATCACCTGCGGACCAGACAGAAGGAGCTCATGGAGACTTGTCTCTCAGAGCAGGAGGCAGTGAGGAAGGATCACATCAGGAATAAAGCTCTTCTGCCTTTCCAGTCAGGGGCTGCAAATATCCTGGGTTACAACCTCAAACAAGACTTGGACAACAAGACTCTGAGAACCTGCCAGAAAATGGTCATACCAGAGCTCCAGTACACGTCCTACCTTTATGCTGTCCAACACCCGCACAAGAAGAGGAAGGATGTGGGGCTGCCATTGCTGTGGACCAGTCTCCAGGAGAAGATGCAGCTCCCACAGTCCAACTAGGACATGTGGCAACACACTGTGGCTTCCCACCGCTTTGCATCACCCCTTGTCTGACATGTAACTGACCCACAGGACTCTTGTGCATGAGAGGAAGGCAGTGGGGGCTTTGTTTAGGGACACCAAGTTGGTGGCTGGTCTCTTTTTGGGGACCTTGAGCCAAAGGCTTTGCATCATCCAGATCCTGGGTGATCCCACCTGCCTGCTTCTGGCTGGAGGGAGCCAGGCTGGCTGCAGCTGGTCAAGACATTCCAGCCTCTTAATCATTAATCGGGAGCGTGATCATTTGCCTTCATTTCATTTTATTTGATATCCATCAGTCTGGTCACAGCTCACTGGAGCAAGTACTGACTTTGGAGGGTTTAGGGGACGGGGAGGGCGGTGTGAGAAGGGGACACAGTGCTGGAAGAAGCAGGAGTCCACGCTCATGAGGACTAACCACCACACGCTGCTGGAGCTGCCTTTGGTGTGGGGGTCTCAGGCATCCTGCCCAAAGCCAGGCAGGCTGGGCTGCCTTGCCCAGTGGCATGTAAGCTGTGCCTCTCACAAGTGTCACCAGGTGAATGGGACACTGTCCCACATAGGAGAGCTCGGTGCTCCCGTGGGAGGGGGTTTCGTGGTTTTGACCTTTGCTCTCAGGCAAGGGTGCCCGGGCATGGATGTTCCATTGGGTGCAGCATCCCCAAAGCCCTTTATCAGCAGACATGTTTTTGGGGCTCCCATTGTTGTGTTGGCCAAACTCTCCAGCAGGGATTAGGAGGGGATGGAGTGAGGGACAGCTTTGGGCACACTGGTACATCCAGATCCCTACTGCTGCCCTGACCAGCACAAGCAGGAGGAGATGCTGGCCCAGCTTTAAAACACTGGGGTTTTGTCAGCGTAAGTTGGCACTGACAGAAGTGTTGGGAGCAGGTGACAAGCAGTGACACCAAATCCATTGGGCTTGGTGCTGCCATCCTCACAAACCTTCCTGGCACTGCCGCAGCAGCAGGGCCCTGGATGGCAGGATGGGGAGGATGGATCTGGGGTCCAGATGTTGCCTTGGGGGTGAAGATGTGGGGCAGCAGCTCCAGCTAGGAAGCAGGAATGATGCTGTCAGGGGGAGAGGGGTGAGAAGCAGAGCCAGGATTTTCCTCAGTTGTGTTTAGCAGCTGAGGCAGGGGTTAACCAGCCCAGGTGTCCAGCAGGAACAATCCAGATTAAAAGCACTTTCCCTCACTAAAATTAACCCGAGGCTTTTGTGGCAATCAGGCGGAGCTGCTGGAGCCACACGTGGTCACCCTGGGCCATCCCAGGGGCCCTTCCCTGGCAATTCTCCAGCCTCCACCTCAATTTTCCCCTTGGAGCTTCTGATGCGTGATTTGCCCTATGGATTTTGTCAAGCCCTTTTAGCTAAACTGATCATACAGATGGAATATTGGAATATTAGAGTATAGGTATAAAAATGGTTTCTTAGTAGCTGATCTATGTGTATGTGGGGCTCCTGGGAAGTCTGGGGATCCTGGGAGGGCTGAGATTCCTGGGAAGTTTGTGCATTCTCAGGTGCTGGGGGTGCCAATAGGGCTGGGGATCCTGGAAAGGCTGGGAGGGCTGGAGGTCCATGGAGGACTGGGGGTCCCGGGACCCTCTGGACCACAGCTCCCAGGCTGGGGAGCTCACGGCGGGGTGGGCTGTGGTGAGCACGGGCTGGAGCCCCTGGGCAGGGAAGTGTAGCCTCTCCCAGCCTGCAGGAGGAGGGAAACTGGGGCAGGAGATGCGATTCCCGCCCCATGGACCCCCTTGCTTCCCCTGGCGGGGTTCCGGGCGAGGTGTCTCGGGGCTCTCCCGGGCCACGGGGGCGCCTTCGTGCCGCCGCTGGCTCGGCGTCGCTGCGGGGCCGCGCCGGGGCAGCCCGTGACCGGCGGGGGTCCCTGCCGGGGACGCGGCAGCTCTGCGGACAGCCAGCCTGCCTCCTGCTGCGGCCGGGGACACGGCACACTCCGCTGAGCAGGACCCGGTGAGTGCCTTCCCTTTCTCCGGGGGGTGTCGGCTCAGCAAAAGCTCCCGATGAACGCACAGCCGAGAGCGGCTCCTGACTGCTCCGCCCGAGCTCCTCCTGGAAAATGTAGGGACATGGAAGCTGGCGACAGCTGACCTGTCCCTGAAGGAAGGGCTTTGGGAACAGCTCTCACCCACTGCCGCAGGGACAGCCCGGCTGGGGACCCCCCTGTCCGTGCTGCGCACCTCGGGATCCCCCCAGGGAGCGGGGGAAACGAGGGATCCGCTGGGTGCGCTGCGCTGGAGGCGGCAGAGGAGCAGGAGCAGCCCCGACCCTGTCCCGATGAGCCTGGGCTGCTCTGGAGGTCCCTGCCCTCCCCGTGCTGCTGCAGGAGGAGAGCATGGAGCTGCAGGTCTCACCCTGCTCTTCGCTCACTGGCCTTCATTTCCCGGACAAGCATCTTAAAGATTGTTATAAATGAATCAGTCGATTTAATAACTAAAGGAATCCGTTAAATTGAATCAAAGTAAAATCTGGAAAAGCTACAATCAAGTCAGCACCGAGCCAGGCGATCGGTGCTGGGTGAACAGGGTCTGGACTAATGCAGCACTATACCCTAGTAGTTCACAGGGTACTGATTTTACAGGCTTTGTTTTATACTGTTTCTAGACTGTTTCTAGACTTAGTGGGATTCTGGGGGGGGCGGTGGGGGGGAGGTGTCTTCCTGTTTCTTTTTGTCCTTTTTTCACATATTCATGCGTGTACTTTTCTTGTGGTGTTTCTAAATGGAGGTTTTCCTGGAATACTCTGATTGCTAAAATCCTGTTAAATGGTAATATCTTCAAATATTTTGTTCCGGCAATGAATATTTATCTTATCATTCAAGGCATATTTTCTAGACAGAATAATCCTTCAGAATAACCATATTTTGAGACAGGAATTCACCCTGTGTATATTGCTCTTTCCCATCACTTGGTTCTATTAAAAAGACTACTGTATTTTTTAGTCCCGAGCACGAATTTATTCTAAATTATATATTACAAAGATCAAATTCACTTCATTTTATTTTGGGGTCCCCAGGTCAGCCTCCTTGCTGATACACTATGCCCTGACCCATCTCTGAGCTGTGGTGACTTGCCAGTGCACTCTCTCTCCACCCCAGCCCTGTCTGTCAGCCCCTGCTCCCGGGGGGTTACCCAGACCCAAGCCCACCAAGTTAAACCCCAAACCCTTCCAAGAACAGCCCCGTGCCCCTGGCCATGCCCAGCAGCCGGCCTCCCCTCCTTCATCGGCCCACCACATCCTTCTGCTGCAGCCGCCATGGGCTCCCGGCACTTCCCGGCCCGGACCGTGCTCTTCGAGAAGGAGTCCAGCGGTGTCACGTACCGCGTGCCCGCCCTGCTCTACCTGCCCTGCGTGGCCAAGCTGCTGGCGTTCGCCGAGGAGCGGCTCAGCGCCGACGATGCCCACGCCAACCTGCTGGTGCTGCGCCGCGGCACCATCTACGGCAGCTACGTGGAGGTGGGACGGGGCTGCACCGGCGTGGGGACACGCTGGGGCTGTCCTCATCGCTTGGTGGGGCACGGCCAGGCTCCTGGAGACAGCCGCGTGGGAGAGGGGCTGGCGTGGGTGGAGTGAATCCCAGGGTCACGGGTTGGTTTTGCTTGGAAGGGACCTCAAAGGCCATTTCATTCCGTGCCCTGCCGTGAGCAGGGACACCTTCCGCTATCCCTGGTTGCTCCAAGCCCTGTCCGGCCCAGCCAGGAGCACTTCAGGGATGAGCAAAAAGTTGGGCATGGTCCTCACCCCTCTCTGTCCTCTCCTTCTCCTCCTCCTCCTCCTCCCTGGGCAGTGGGAAGACATGCGAGTGCTGGAGACGGCAACGCTGCAGCACCACCGGTCAATGAACCCCTGCCCCCTCTACGATGAGTTCACGGGCACGCTCTTCCTCTTCTTCATCACGGTGCTGGGCAGGACGCCTGAAGCCTACCAGATTGTCACTGGCCAAAATGTCACCCGCCTCTGCTGTGTCACCAGCGCTGACCAGGGCCTGAGCTGGAGCACAGCCACAGACCTGACACAGCAGGTCATTGGGGCGACCATCAAAGGTACCCAGCTGCAGGGGGTGAGGAGAGGGGAGAGCAGCCAGCACGGGGGGGTGTCCCTGGGTTTTGGTCTCCTGGAACCACCAGTGACGTTGCTGGGGTGATTTTGACGCAGGAATCCCACAGGCTTCCAAAAAGGTGGAAGAGGACCTCAAGCAGAGGGGAAAAAGATGGAGGGAGTATGCATATCAGTTACTGAGAGTGGGGAGAAGATGGAGAGGCCCCACAGCCACGGGGAGCATGTGTGAGGACAACTAGGCAGCGCTGGGCTCTGTTGCCCTCCCACCCCACTGCTTGGCTTGACTGGGAGGAATCCCTGGGCACCTTTCCACACGGGGCCTGGCAGGGCGCTTTGGGGGTCACTCTTTACCCCATCCCACCTTCACCCCATCCCATCTTCCGCTCCCCAGACTGGGCGACGTTCGCGCTGGGCCCCGGGCACGGGATCCAGCTGCGTTCCGGCCGGCTGCTGGTGCCAGCCTACAGTTACCACATCGACTGCAAGGAGTGCTTCGGGCAGCTCTGCAAGACCACCCCGCACTCCTTCGCCTTCTACAGCGACGACCACGGCCGCGGCTGGCGCTTCGGGGAGTTCATCCCCAACCTGCAGACGGGCGAGTGCCAGCTGGTCTCTGTGGACGAGGAGGACGGATCCAACGTCCTCTACTGCAACGCCCGCAGCCCCTTGGGCTTCAGGGTCCAGGCGCTCAGCACGGATGACGGGGCCGTGTTCCACGGGGGGCAGCTGGTGCAGCGGCTGGTGGAGCCGCCCCACGGCTGTCACGGCAGCGTCATCGGCTTCCCCGCGCCGCTCGTGTACGTCCGCGCCGCCTCCCGGGACGCCGTGCTGCCCCGCCGGGGCTCGGTTTGCCGGGCGCTCCGGGCCTTTGGGCGCCTGCCCACCCGCCAGGCGGGCGGTGCTGAGCTGCCCACTGGCAACCACCGTGAGCCAGATGAGCCCGATGAGGACCGTCCATGCCCAGGGCATCACGGTGATGCCCACAGTGTCACCTCGGCCCAGGGGGACTCTGCAGCAACCCCCAGCCCCACTCCCTTCTTCCAAGCACCAACGTGGATCCTCTACTCCCATCCCACCAGCTCCATGTCGCGGGTGAACATGGGGGTTCACCTGAGCACCTTCCCCAGGGACGCAGAGAGCTGGACAGAGCCCTGGGTCATCTACGAGGGCCCGAGCGCTTACTCGGACCTGGCGTACATGGAGCTGCCCCACAGGGATGCGCCGCTGGCCGGCGGCACGGCCATCGCCTTCGCCTGCCTCTATGAGAACGGGACGAGGTCTCCCTACGAGCAGATCTCCTTCAGCATGTTCACGCTGCACGACGTGCTCCAGAACATCCCCCTGGCAGCCGCTGCTCCCCGCCGGGGCCGCGGGAGGAAGAGGAGGAGGAGGAGGAGCTGCTTCATCTCCTAGAGCCCTCCCAGGGCAGCTCCCCACACCGCCCCAGTGCTGGATCCTGGAGCACCAACCCATAGGCTGGGTCCTGCCACCGTCCAGCACAGAGGCGTGTGACTGTCCCCACACTAGGGTCTATCTCATTTTTATTGCTATTTTTTAAATTCTATTTTGGGTGGGGAGGCTTTTGCCCCCAGCCCAGCCCCAGGCTCCTCTCCAAGAAAGAGCCTCCTCTGGAAACAGATATTTGGGGGGCAACAGCAGCAGTGGCAGCCAGGGGTACCCTGTGCCATCCCTGTGTGCTGGCTCAGGAGATGTGGTACCACCACCCTGCCTGAGGGCTGTCCTCTCTTGTTAGAAATAGTTACGCCATATAAATATGGTTTATCATGTTAAATTCTTTCTTTTTCATGAAAAGGCTTTTTCTCAGTGGTGTCTCTGAAGTCACTCTGAGGGTTTGGGCTGGGGTAGAGTTCTGTTCCTTGATTGTGGCTGGGATGGGGCTGGGTTTTATATTTGGGCTGATGATGAAGAAATGTTCGTATTGCATTACTTGTCTGTCTGGGCTTTTAGTTCTCTCTCTTCGTTTTTTCATTACAATTTTTTATTATTCATTATTATTTCATTACATTTTCCTTTTCATTACAATTTATTTTTATTATTTCAATTATTAAAGTATTTTTATGTCAACCCAGGAGATGTCTCACTTTTACCCCTCTGATTCTCTCCCCCTCCCACGGCATGGGGGTGAGTGGCTGGGTGGTGCTTGTGTGCCAGCTGGGGTTCAGCCACCCCAATGGCCCAGTTGCTGTTTTGTCTGGTCTGGGATTTGGTTTTTTAATCTGCCATGGCCATCACTGCTCTCCTCTGACCCTTGTCAGTCTGGGGACAAGCCCCTCCCAGCTCGGGCAGGCCCAGGCCCAGGCTGGGTCCTGCAAAGGTTATGGGGAGGGGGTTGAGCACAGGAGTGGGGTCCTGCTCTTGGGAATGAGCAGCAGCTTCTCCTGACACTTGTGTGTGGGTGAATTTTGGGGTTACACCTCAATTCCAGCTCTGCCTCCCCCAGCACGACTCCATCCAAGGACCCCAGCTCGGCTCCTCAGGGCTCCTTCACCTGTCCTGGCCTGTGCTGGTGACAAACACCAGCTCCAGTGCCCTAAATATGAACTGATTAACAAAACTGATTAACAGGAGTGTCCATCTCTTCAGTCTGTGACACCACCACGTCTCATTTTCCACCGGGGTGGGTGGAGGCTGACAAGTGACAGACAACATGTAAAACAGAAATTTTCAGTTCCCTTGAAGTTGCAAAATAGGACTTAAAGACTAACTAGCAAGTGAGATAAAAGAGTGTAAAAGTAGGCACACGGGGTGCTAAACACAGCTGGAGCCAGTGGAGAAGCAGGTAATGAGGAACACAGTGACTTCTGTGGCAAAGTTATGGAACAAGGAACAGCAGCTCCTGCCCTGAGAGACGTTCAAGGCAAGGTCACAGTGTTGGGGCACTCAGTGAGCACAACCACCAGACAACCCTCTAGGATCAAAAGAGGACTTCCAGGAAAGGATGGAGGCATGTAAACTGGTTCTAGGAAAAGTGATATTTATGTGTTCTCTAGGAAGCCCTCTTGTAATAGATCTGTCTGATCATGATGGAACAAACCTCCTGTCATGAAGCTTCACAACACACACTGGGTTAGAGGAGGTATCTATCCTGCATGATTCCAGCTTGTGGTAAGGGATGCCTGCTTCCTAATGCTCCAAACTGTGTCAGAAAATTGATTAAACTGGTTCTCTGCCTCCTTTCAGTAGCACAGGAGTGGCTGAGGCAGCTGCTGGGTTCATACTGGGATGCTGGAAGCCAGGTCCTCACCTCCATCCCTCACCGGGCCAGCTCCCAACCCCAAATGGCCACCAGCCCCAAGGGAAGGGACATGGCCTGGGCCAGGGCATCTGCACAGGAGCAGCCCTTGGCACATCAGCCCCACGAGCTGCCCCAACACCCAGGGTGTCATCCCCCACGGGGGCTCTTCAGTCTCACACGGGGCTCTTGCACTGGGCTGGTGTCACAGCCCCTGCTGTGCCCTCTCTGCGGCGCGTGCCAAGTGACACCCGAGGCGACACCTCCTCCTGGCACTGCCACCGGGCCCTACTTGGCGTCACAGAAGCCACAGAGGCAGCCGAGGCAGCCGTTGAGGATCTGGAGCAAGGCCAGCACCATCTCGGCCGCGCTGATGAGCAGCAGCAGGGAGAACAGCACGACGTGCCAGGTGACGATGCCCTCGGGCTCCAGGCAGATGCTCCAGGCTCTCCGGTTGTACAGGTAATTCTCAGCCCTGTGCGACAGGAAGGGGAGAAGGTGCAGGATGCTGCCTGCAGCAGGTCCACAATCCCATCGCTTTCTTGTCCCCCAGACACCCCATCCTGCACTCAGAGGATTCAGGGAAGAATAAAAGCTTCGAGGCAAAAAGGAAAGGAGCAGGCAAGAAAAAGAATGGTTAGAAGAATCACATTTACGCACGTGTCTGAGTCTAAAAAGAGAACAGAATTATTTTGTAGCACATATAGTGACAGGAGGGAAAGAAACCTATGCAATAACAAAGTCTGCCATCTCTCTGAGAATTGACCCAACCACTGGAAGCAAAAAAATGGAAGCTAATGTCAAGATGTTCCAGTGCAAAAACAGTGGAATGAAACATTAACCCTGGGTTCAGATACGATGAAATGTTGGTAAGAATCGGAAGTAAAGAAATGGGAGCAGTGGGGTTTGAACAGTGTACACAAAGGGATTATTACACTTCATAATGAATGAGCAAACAGTGCTGCAACTTCTTATTTGGGGTCTATTCTGTTCGTTGATACTGCAATTACTTCGGCTGGGAGGGTGATGAAGATGGAAAGCACCATGTAGAAATCCATGGAAGGTGAGGATTCCTTGAGCTACCGGGGTTCTGCATCAACCACCACGCACGCATCCATCCCACCCCCCTTCATTAACCCACTTAATTAGCAACCCATTGATTCAGGCCTCACCTGGCATCAGGCCCCTGGTCAAAGGCATCCAGGAAGGGGTAGCCCCAGCGGGCTGCGTGCCCCAGGCCGGGCTCGGAGGAGTTGTAGAGGCAGAGGGGCCCGTTGGTCAGCCCCACCCCGCAGAGGACGAAGCAGGCGGCAGCGCCCAGGAGCGCCAGCTTGGAGAGCACCACGGACAGGAACGCCTGCAGGGAGCACCGGGGGGACACGCCAAGTCAGCGAGGGTCAAAACGCAGCTGCAGCTCGTCAGCGGAGCTTGGGAGGGGGCAAAACTGCCCTGGCCAGCTGCGGCTGAGGGTGGAGGCAGCACTGGGGCGGCAGGAGTGGGCAGCGAGCTGCGGAGGTGGCACCGTGCCGCACTGGAGAGCAGCACCCAGCCCCCGCTGTGGGACGGGGGGCGTTCAGCGCATCCCGGCGTGGGGCAGTGAGAAAGGGCTCTGTGCCCCACGCAGCAGCGGGGGGACCCGGCACACCCCCCGCGGGCAGAGGGGATCCCTGCGGTGGGACAGGGCACGGGCGCATCCCGCCCCTGCCCAGCCCAGCCCGCTCCCGGCTTACGCTGTGGCGGCCGGAGCGCTGCCAGCCCAGCGCCGTGACGTGGGTCGCTGCCAGCAGCACCTGCAGGGACAAACACAGCGCTGGGGGACAAAGGGGAGCGGCTGCCCCGCTCCGTCCCCCTGGCCCGCTCCAGAGCCGGCGGAAGGCGGCCGCGCCCCGCGGTACTCACGGCGATGCCGCCGCCCCAGAGTCCCGGCACGGCCCGGGCGTGGCCGCTGATGTGCCCCTCCAGCAGGTACGTGGCTGCTCCGCCGGGGAAGAGCAGGAGGATGCTGGCTGCCGTGGAGAGCGTGCCCAGCACCAGCAGGCAGGGACCCACGATCCGGCTGCACTTCCCCACGCACATGGCTGTCCTGCATGGGCAGGAGGAGAGGGAAGGGCTGCGTTTGGCCCCGCAGCGCCCCGAGGTTTCCCCATCCCGAGCCCATCTCACAGCTGTGGGTGGGAGGGAGTCGCTGGGTTGTGCTTTTGGGTGCAAGCCCACCCTGCTGGCACTGCCCCTACTTGAGGGCAGTTTCCAGTGGAAATTGTAATACTTCTTTGCCAAATAGGCGCTGGTGTTCCCACACCAAACCCCAAGACTTGTGTGGCTCTTCCAAAACGTGTCCCAGCTCCTGGCAGGGGAAGATGGTCTTTAAGGTCCCTTCCAACCAAAACCAGTCTGAGGTTCTATGAAAATGTTACTGCAGGAAGCCAACCACCCACCGCAGCTCAGTTTGGCTTTCAGCATTTACAATGAGCAGCAGGAAGCCAAGAAAGAGTCAAAATCTTTGTACAAAGGCTTGTGAAAGCACATCAGTCTCCAATTCACTCTGACAGTAATTCTATCCCTGTCCCTACCATAGGTCTGAGTAGGCTGAAAGCAATTCAATTTAATTAAGAAATTAAATTTCTACTCTCCAGTGCTACTGGCATCTTACTAAGTTATGAGTTTATCTAGAAAGCACCTGCCCATCTCCAGGTGCTACCTTGTCCAGAATTGCATCTCTTCTGCACCTACAAGACCCTTTTTGTACAGGATGTCCTTTGGTCCCTCTGGGACTGCTGAAAATAACAGGATTGCTGTTGTCCTTGCTCTCAGCCGTTTGCTACCCTGAGTTCTTCTGGCTTGAAGTTTGGCTTATGCATTTTCCCCTTTCCTGCTAGGCTGCAGCCCATTTGCACAGGTGCCCCAGTGAAGCTGTTTCTTGCTCTGGCTGGTTTTGTTCTCGCTCTGGCTTTGCAAAGCAGAAGCGGCTGCGGCACCGCGGGGTTGGATCTGTGGGAAGAGCTGCTCAGCCCCTCCTGCAGGACCTCAGTGCCAGGGAGGAGTGGCCAGGGCAGCACATCCAGCCCTGGCACGGCCGAGGGGCTGGGGGACACCAGTCCCAGCAGGGCACTGGGGAGCTGAGCATGGAAGAACAGGGCTCTGAGACACCTGGGGGAGACCATCAGCTCCACACGTCCTAGAATCCCACCTCTCTTGATTTCCATCCTCCCTGCCTTGGTTACAGGGAATTAAGGGCCTCTTGGCCCCAGTGAGGCCCTGCCTGCAGTCCAGGGATTGTGTGGCACAGCCATGAGTGCCCTCTGCTGAGTCCCACCTCCCCACCACCTTCTGGAAGAGCTGCAGCTCCTCTGAGCTCACAGCCTGGGCTCTCACAGCAGAGCCTGTCTGCTCACCTCCCCTCCTCCTCTCCAAGCACTCCCCCTCCACCACTGCCCTCCCCCTGGGCATGGCAGCAGGTCTTTCCCCTGGGAAGCTCCCAGGCCACGCTGTCCCTTCCAAGCAAATCCCCCTGAGCAAGCAGCTCCTGGGCCAGCACAGACAAACCTGTGCAGGGCAGGCAAACCAAAGTGCAGGTGGTCCTGTGTCCATCCTGTGTCCGAAGCAGGACCCCCTTCTGCCAGCACACCTCCATGACCAAAAGCACAGAGATTCCAGCAAAGCCCAGGGAACTCCTCCCCACTCCCCAGCTTACCTGGAGCGGTGCCACGCAGAGCAGCAGCAGCACCCAGCCCTGGCTGAGCCCTGTCCCAGAGGATCACCCATGGGTGACTATTTATGACACCTCAGCCTGTGCTCCCCTCCCATCCTGTCCCCCACGGGCCGCCCACCAGACCATGACCCTCTGTCCCTGTCCCCATCCCAGGGAAGGATGAGTGGCTGGATGAGCCACTCTGCCTTGCCCTTCCCCATTTCAGAATTTACACTGGCCGAGTTCACCAAATCAGGCATAACCTCAGATTTTAAGGCTTCTACCACATCTGCACTAAATGCCTCAACCAGTGCCCGAGTAGTGAACACTGCTGCTCCTGGAACAACCTTTTGGGAAAATGTTTCCTCTCTAATACTTCAATAAAAGCTTCAGAATAAACATTCCCATGTGTCCACTGGCTCCTACCTCCCACCCTTTGCTTCCTCGCAGGCGTGTCACCTTTTCCTCAGGTGCTGAATGTATCCCCACCATGTGTGTGTCTCATGCCTTGGTAATAAGATTGAGAGAGGAAGGTTATTTCTAGGTATCTTCATTATTATAAATCATCAGATATCAGCATTTGGTAGCACAAAAAAAAATGGCAAAAATGGGACAGTTTTGTTGGCAGAAGAGTTGCAGGTGGCACCAGCAAAGAGAAGAATGGCTTGTGGGCTGTGCAGGCACAAAGAAGAACCTTCTCAAAGAAGAGTTTTGGGAGCCCTCCAAGAGCCACGTGGGAAAAGATGAATGGGTGAGGCCAAGTTACAGCAGGCAATTCCATTCCTCTTGCAAAAACAAGCTGAGGAGCAGATTATCAGACAGTCCCTCTGAAAGGAAAATCAGAGCTGGCATCAGGAGAGGAATTCCCATTTTAGAATCTCAGAACAGTCTGAGGGGGAAGGGACCCAGTAGGATCATGGAGTCCAGCTCTGGAGTGAGTGCAGGGATTGAACCTGAGACCTCAGCATCCTTAGCACTGGGCTCCAGCACCTGAGTTAACCTCAGGGTATTTCATCCTTAAATGGGACAAATCAGTCTCCAAAATGAAGACAGACAATGCATGCAGGATAAGCAGAGTCCAAGTTCTCCTTCCTTTTTCCTTTCCTTTTTCACTTAGAAAGAGGGGAACCTTTTTTTCACTCTGCTGCAAGAAAAAGTTTTGCAACCTCATCTTGTGCCTTTCCTACGTCACAGCAATCTGAGGTTCCCACCACACACATGATCTGCTCCATCATCTCCCACAGAAAACCCCATGCCAGGAAGTGTGAAGCATCAGGGTGACACTCTTCCCTGGACTGCTGATCTTTTCCTTATAAGAATAACCCTAATAGAAGGCTAATTTTGGCCGTGCACGTGAGGAGCTGTGTGCTTGCCTTTCCCACACCAGAGTTCAACTGTGAAAGTGCCAGCACAGCAATTATGGGCACGGAATTTGCTGCCAAGTCACCCAGTCCTGGTGCAGCCAAACGTGGTCCCACCTAACGCAATTCCAGCTTGGCAAGGTCCCCCTTGGCTGAAGAGGTGCCTTCACCTCCCTGCTCCACCAGGAGATTCCCTTGGGGCTGAGGAACCTGCACAGCAGGCTGGGTTCCAAGAGTGGTTTGGCTTCAAGGAGAACCAAGAGACTGAGGTGGGTCTGAACTGGTGAGGAGGAAACGTTCTGTGCCAAAGCAGCCTCCACCTTGGTCCTGGATGGAAGATGTTCAGCACCCATCTGGTCTCTCCCACTCCCCTTCTTAGCATCTGCAAATCTGTTTGTGCCACTACTCAGCCAAGACTTCTCCAAAATCCCCTTAGACAAGCCCTGCAGGGTGTTTGTGGCTGGAACTGACTGAGGAAACACTAACACCATGCTGGACAACATCCCCTTTAGGGCTTACAAATGTCACCTGAATTTACAGTTCAGATAAACCCCATGAAAAGCTGGAAGTTTACAGATAGGAAAAATAAGTAAATGAAACCCAAGAGGTATTTTGAGTTTGAGGTATCCCAGTAGTTCCCTGAGCTGCAGACTGATGTAAAAAGATTCCTGACTCAGTTGGAACTGGGAATATTTTCCTAGGCTGTGTGAAGAGTTCAGGGTTTTCCAGCTTCAAGACTGTGGCAGGGGCTGAGCTCCGCAGTGGAGACTTACCTACAGTCAGGAACACGGGATTGACCCAAAATTGATTTCTTAATTTCACTTTCTCCACTGCATGTGCCAAGTCCTGGTCCAGAAGGGCCCTTGCTCCTTTGCATTTCATGCCAGGCCACGACAGGAACATCCCAACTGCACAAGTCAGAGGCTCTGCCTTGCCAGCACCTTACCAGGACACTGACAGATCAGAACAGAAAGCCCCATTTCCTCTGCTCTTTTGTTGAGAAGGATGGGAAATCCTAGCCCTGCCTCTTTTTATTAGTTTTCATACAGGTATTTTTCCTGTCAAGGTCCTGTAAGTTTGTCTCACTTCAAGATTTTCTATCCTCTACAACAGCCTGAAGTTTTCTTGGGAAATGCTGTCATCTACAGCTCCTTATCCTTCTAGCCCAGTATCCTGAAGGAAAAACTCAGGAACTCCACAAATAACACAGGGACAGACTTCCATTAGAACTAAAGCAACAAATAAACCCCAACCCCAAAAAACCAAAAGTTGAAGAAAGCTACTGAAAACAGTTGGTTTTATTTCCAGGATCAAATATTACAATAGGACATTTACATATATTTATAAAAAATGCAGCAGTTGTGTATATAGATCAGAGGTTTCCTTGAGTTTGGTCCCTCCCAGCACAGTGAGCTGAAAAATTCCAAATTAATCTTCTCCCTCCTTCCATGTGAAGTTGCCATGACTGAATAAACTGACCACTGTGAAAAGCTGTTCCTTAGAAACTGGATGTTCCCCAGTTCCAGGAAACAGCATAATTTTTAAAAAATCATCTGTCCTAGAGTCTGGTGTCTCTGAGTTGAGTTTTACCCAGATGTTCTTCATATAAATCTGGTCTATAAAAATAGCACCTCATCCCCTGCTCCACACAGTTTCAGTTCTACACCTTCAATCTGGGCACCATTTCACAAGCAGTTGCAAAGTGACTTTTCTCTGCACTGCAGATACTCCCAGTGATCTGTCAGTGACCGAATCCTCAATTTCTGTGCTCACTCCCAAGGTGCCCTTGGAACACAGTGGATAACCCGAGGCAGGTCGAGGCACTGCCAGGTGCAGCAGTCTCTGCCTGAAGCCCTGTGTGTGTAAATACATATGGCTCTGTTTGTTGGGACTGCACAAACACCAAGCATCCCAAGGACAAAAGGAGACAGGGAAAAAAGTCAGCACAGAAAGGGCATCCATTAACCTCACCCGCTCCAAATCCCCACAGGCCTCTGGGTACTTCCAGCAGCACAGCCAGCACAGGGCTCAGCATCAGTTTGTTCTGTCTTTGAAACAGGAGCTGTTCCACTTACAGAAAATCACTTGTGAAAATAAATAAATAGAAAGGGTGAGGGAGAGCAGAGGCTGGATTTGAGCCTGTGGGAACAGCCAGACGAGGCACAGCCAGTCCTTGAGAGCGACTTTGCCCCTCACCCACCTAAAGCACATCTCTGCCACCCCTTCTCCTCTTGGAACACCAGACTGCCTGTCTTACCAACTTCACTAAACAGGGATTAAACCAGAATAAAATGGTGACATTTAGTACAAACTAAAAATGAATAACAATGAAGTGATGAGGCCCCGAAATGATACAGATGTTCCCACTCACACGGACATTCCTATAACACATCCCTATGGTCGTATTTCATTTTTACGTGGTTTACCAAAAAACCACCATGTTTCAAGCAACTCTGCAGTGTTTTCTACCTGACAAACAGCTCAAAATGCTGCCCTGCCCCCAGAAGAAAACTAGTTTTAATTTAGCCCTTGTTGCTCGAGTCCCAGTGAAGAAGCTCAGGGCTCTGACAGGAACAGGAATTTGAGACCCTTCAGCAGAGAGGCTGAGTTAGTAAAACCTGCACCAAACCCAGTTCCTGCCAGGGCAAGCTGAGTGTACAAATCAGCTCTGGAGGACACAGACCCTGTGAAACACAAGCTGGACAAAGAAGAGGTGTCACTTTCCCCTAACAGTGAGGAAAAGGTCAGGGAGCTCTGGGAAGAGCTGATGGAAAATTCCTGTTTAGATCTACTTGGGACTAAGGGTACATCTGGATGCTTTTTACAGACAACTGTATTTTACAAGGCTACCTGTAAATCCTGGACACTCCTCTAAGATCAACAGTGTTAACTGACCTGATTTACCAGGAAAAGCAATGCACTGCAGTCCATGAATGTCAGAAACCATAAACATCACCTTTCAACCTTGGTTCCAAGCCTAAAGACAATAACACAAGTATGGCCAGAAATGTTTGGCCCAGCCTCTACCTGTCCTTTTTACATCAATGGAGAATGAGTGAGTCTGTAAGCTTAAGAGCGTGCAGCATCAGAAAGATATAAAATCCTTCTGTACTCCTGTGAAGTGGTAAGTAAATTTGTCAGCTGCATTTGGCAGGGAAAGCCAGAACTTGTTTTGCCTTCTGTTGCAGGATCCTGGATGTGACTGGCACTACTGGACATTACATCCCAAAACAAAGCTGTGTTAGATGAAGAGCACAGGCCAAGGGAACATCTCCAGCAGCAGCAAGGAGCTCCAGCTTCAAACACGACAGCCCTGACAGCTCTCCAGTCAGAAAAACCTGCATTGCCTACATGCACTGCTGCTCCTGCAGCACCACATGCAAATCCTGACCCAGCGATACCCCCAGGAAGCCACAAACCACAGCTTTTGAAGGATTGGTTTCCTTCGTCCTTCACAGCTCAACATTGTATTTCCCAACCAAATTCAACACATTTTTTCCAGCAAACGCAATTTAAGCTTCAGATTTCACATCTAGGCTTAAAGGCTCTTTAAACATTGCCCAGCCCATCACCTTCACTGCCAGGAGCTGTCCTGTCCCAGGCAGGATTCGATTTGTGTTTTCAACCACACCCCTCAGGCCAGCAAAGCACATTCCTCCAAAGGGATGGAGAGCTGAAGAGGCTGCATCCTGGCTGCTGCAGTTCCTCATCAGCTTTCAGCCCCAAAGCACAGCTGATTTGTGGCACTGGGTTTGTTTGGGTTGGGAAGGAAAGGAGGAATGAACAAAGAGAAGAGCCACATGCAGGGATATGTATTCCTTAATTTTTTTTTTCTCTGTTTCTTGCTCTTGAAGCAAAGCAAAAGAAAGGCGATAGAAAAAACCACACTGTGAGACAGATACAAAGAATCCAACCCAGGATCACAGTTTCCTGGAACAGAACAAACTCCTAGAAACCACAAGAAAATGCCATTTTCAGTATAAATGTTCAATTTCCCTATCTCCTTTCCCCTGTCTGAGCAATTCCTGGTCTCACCACAGAGTTCAGCCCAGCTCCATAGACAGGAGCAGGCCCTGGAGGGCCAGGGGAGAGAAGGTGCCAATAAACCACACCTAATAAACCACATTCCAACCAGACAGCTGGAGCTGCTTCAGGAAGCTTTAGGTCTACATGGAAATGTGAGTTAGAGATCTGGATATCCAGGAATTAAAGGATCCTTCAGTCTAGAGGTGGCACTGCTCCTTCACAGGCCAAACACAAGACCCCCCCACTCACCTCCCCAAGCTGGGAGCAGCCTCCACACTTGGGGGTCTTTACAAACCAAAGATGACATCTGGTGTCCCATCAACCACTGATCAGGAAGCTGAGATGAAACTGCTTTCCTGACACTACATCCTGCAGCAGAAAGGGAAATCAACTTCTACAACTGCATGATTCCATGTCAAACTTCAATTAGGAGCAGGAGACAGCTGTGAGCTGAAGTTTTCATGGGGAATGCCAGACATTTTCTGTGATTTCTTGCATTAAAAGGTTCCAAAGTATAGATGCCAGTATGAAATCAAAGGCAAAATATCTTGAAAAAAATGAAATATGTAAATTTCTGACTACTAAAGTCTTTAACAAAGACAATCATCTGAGAGAGGCAGAAAAAGTCAGCAGTTATGCCAGGTCCCACATGCCTTTCTCCTCAGTGATTGAAGACCATGATAAACTGAATTTTTAGTTGTAAATACACAAATCCACCACATCATGCTGTGCCAGTTAACTTCTGTCCCACTGGAACATCTGCTGAAACACCAACTGACCAAGAGCTCCATGTCCAGAGAAGACACTGGAGGAAAATCAGGGCACTGACCTGTGGTGCCAGCTTCCAGAGCTGAAAGCAAAGCCTGCACCAAGGAGCAGTTTTCCATGCAGCCCTCCAAATTTAGAGGTAAGTGACAACAGATGAACACAGAAACAGAACACAAATCACCCCAGGGAATTCAAGTCACCTGGCTGGGAAGTGTTTTATGAAGCATTAATTGATGCTCAATGCTGTCAGTGCTGTAAAACCCCTGTAAAGCCATTCAATCCTAGAAAAACCAACCACTGTGCCAAGGGAAAAAGCCAACTGACTATCAGGTGTCTGTGGCAGGTGTTTTCAGGGAATCCAAAACCTTTACAGTACCTTTGTTATTTGCAAAATCCTGAGAGCAAGTAAGGAAACACTTTGAGGATGCTGGGAAGGGAACATGGATAACCCACCCACCCCCACCAAGGAGCTGGTTCTGCTCCAGCACTGAACTCACAGCTTTCCCTCTGGGCCAAGCAGTCAATCCCATATGGAGCACAGTTGGATTTCTGGGGGGTTGCCTGGCTTTTTTACTATGTCCACTGGCAATTTAAAGCAGGAGGAAAACAGGCAGGCAATCCAGAAGCTTTTGAATTAGGTGGAGCAGAGCATTTTACCACGGCTCAACCCAACTCCTTTCCAAAACCAGAGTGTTGGATAAGAGAAGGCTGGAAGGTTAATGGAGACCTTTTGTGTAGGGAATCCAAACAAAGGAAAGACTGTCCTGAAGGTTATGCCCTCTCCTTACAGAGAGGTGCCTCCGTGCCTCATCACACACTCTTCAAAAATAAATTAAACAAAACAGATTTAAGAATAGCAGCGAGAAGGGTTTGTGTATTATGGCCACTCCAAGCTCCAGCATGCTGGATACACAGATCACTGTTTTACTTTATTCCAGGAAAGCAGAGGAAAGATGTTCTTCCCAATGCTCTCTGCAGCTGAGGAAGAAAATAAAACTCTGAGCACTCTCATTTGGTCACTAGAGAGGGAGAAGGGAGGGAGAGAGAGGAGGAGGGAGAAGGAAGGGCCAGTCAGCTGCCTGATTCCAGCACTGCAATCCCACGACCCTTAACTGCATATTTAACGACTCCTGTCCCGGGCAAAGAGGAGAGGGAGGAAGGCTGGGAGAGCTCAGGCCACAGTGCTAATTCCTTTCCTGCACAAAGACAGTCTCTTGAGGACACAGGCCTGCCTCCTGTAACGTGATCTCATAGTCCAGGTGGGAGAGTTTCCTCCGAGGGAAGTTGGTGAGCAGTTCAAAGCGCTCGTTGGGGTATCCTTTGGACTGGACGTGTTTCACAAGAGCCTGGGGAGAAAGGAAGGCAAACCAGTGTCACAGAAGTCAGAATGGGGAAAAAAATCCTGTTTTCCTTTAAAAAGTGTTGCCTTTTAAAGTTTTTTCTTCTTTTTTTTTGCTTGAAGGGAAGAAAGAGCATCACCTTGGAAATAATGTGTGTAAGGAAGCCAGTGCTTTGTCAATAACAGCACAATGATTAAAAAGAAAACATTTTAAAAACCAGTATTGGGGAGTGTCATCAATTGAAACTCCTGAAGTGCAGCTGTCTCCTTAAGCAATTTCTTTTGCTAGTTCTGGACAGCTTTAAAATGCAAGCAACTAAAGGCTGAAAAAAAACAGCATGGAAATGATGCTCACAAAGAAGCACCTGAGACTCAATCTGGATCTGACTGAAAGGCTCCAGAAGATCACATGAGATGAGCACAAAGGCTGCTTGTTCAGCTCTGCAACCAAAAGATGTCTTTACCCACAAACCTTGACTCAGCTAAATTTCTCTGCTGACAGTAGAGCAGAAGAGAAATCATATGCTGAGATAATTTTCCTTTTACTCTCACAGTCCATAAAAGGTGCCAAACCAAAAGTCAGGATTTATTTCAATATTGCAGTTTTGTACTGCCTACATGAATTGTTTAAGTATTCAAAAGTGCTACATATTTAATAATACATGCAAATTTACTTAACAAGCTGCATTCAAAAGGCAGTCAAGCTCTTTTTTCCTTTTATTTTCAAGCAGGAAAGTCAAGGATGAGAACATGAGCTGAGGATACTGTACATTCCTAGAGTTGCTGGCTAGGCAATAGCCCCAGTCTTTGTAAGAGATAGGACAATTTCTCCCAAATCTACACAAAATCCTTCTGATGAGGTGTGCTGTTGCCTTCCCTATGACTTCAGCTGTTAGATTGATTACATTTAAATGAGCTTAACTGGCCACTGTTTCCTGAAAACTCATGGCAAACAGGACCACAGCAACTTTTTACACTCTGCTCCCAGGTAAGCACCTGGAGAATTTTGATGGAAATGCCATTCACATGGACTTCTCCAAGGTAAGGAGCCCAAAGCACAGTTGAGACACACACCTGAGGCACAGTAATTGACCAAAATTCTACCTCCCATGCAAAACCACCACACTCTGTAACACATCTGTTTTGGGAGAACTTCCTCCAGTCTGCTCTAACACCCATGTCCAGAATGAAGGGTGGAAGTTTGATGGGAGAGATGGAGAATGAGGAGTTTTGCCTTTGATTTTACCATGGGAACCAACTACTTTTAGAAACAAAGCCCCAGAAATGAGAAAGCTGAGAGCATTTAATGGTAATTAACGATTAATGCAAAAGCCATTTAGAGTAATTTTATAATGGAAATGAGCAGTGTGGGGATTGAGAAAGACACTGGAGTGTACAGAAAACCCAAGCTGCAGTGGAGACACACAGAGCCAACAGTTACCAGAGGAATGACATGGAACACAGTGCAAGCACCCCCTGGATACACCTCTCCCACTAGATCAGATTTCAACGGTGTCCCCCAGGCACGTTGAAATTCTCCAGTTTTATCTTTCTTCTACTCAGACAAGGATTCCCATCAAGTCCACTCACCAGAAGTTTAGCTTGTTCAGGCAGTGAAACTTGTTCCCTCTTTCCATCTGGATACCTCAGCATCAGCTGTGCCTTTGGTCCTACACAAATAAAATTATCACAAGTTAGTACCAGGGCAGCTGAGTTGAGGCCTGTGGTAGATTTTAGGTGGGACAGCACAGCAGGGTGAGGGACTGGAGACAAACACAAGGTTCCAGCCTGTGGAGATAAATTTCTACCATAATGCTGAAAATACAAACATCAGGCTCAAGACTCTTCCAAAGCAGCAGTGACTGACCCCAGGCAGTGTGGCCAGAGCACACTGCACCTGTGTTACACCAGAGTGGACTTTACTCCTGGGCAAGACCCGAGTCAGGGAACCCAGAGGACTCTGCAGGCTGGGGCACTGCTGGTGAATCACTCACACGTCTGCTGGCAAGGAGGGAGGAAATCAGAAGGCATTTTTAAAAGAAGGGATGAAACCAGGCTTGGCAGCCTATGAACAGCTTCAGGCAAAAAAGCCACAACAAAAGCAATAAAAACTGGGCACTTACCATTCACGTCCAGGCCCCGGAAGGTACTTTCAGGCTTGTCAGGTGACTCCTCCAGTGCCCCCGCATCGATGCAGGGCAGGACTCTGTGGTTTGATGTTGTTCCAGGCTCAGTCCTTGCAGAGGGCTCAGGCTGAGGCCTCCGGCTCTCCTCTTTTTTATACCCCAAGTCTTTGTGTGGAGACTTCCTCAGCTTGGCTGGAATCTCCGACTCCTCCTCCTCCTCAGATCCACAAACAGAAATAAACTCTTCACTTCCAGAAAAAAGCTCCGACTCCGACTCCTCATCTGACCGGCTCTCCTGCTTGGCCTGTGAGGAATCAAAATGTGTCTCCTGGAGCGAGGCTCTGATGGCAGCTTCCAGCTGGCTGTCCTCACTGGCATCGATGAGACTTTCCTGTGGGATGCAGACAACACGTACATCACAACTGCCTTCAAACATCTCCTGAAAACAAAAAGGACATCAGTCTTCCAGAAGGGAAGCCTGTCAGGAATGCACAGCAGGGAAAGCTAGGCATGCTGTGATTGCTTAATAGCTTCTCCTTGGAGTTCTGCATGGAGTAATCAATATTCCTTTCACACTCTGGCTGCTAAATCCAAACCAAGCGCCAAAAGCACAAACAATGACCCTGGGAGAAGGCATTCCCTGGCACACTGTGTTTCTGCATGCCCCAGCACTAACTCCTGGAGTCTGTCTGGGAAATCAGGAGAGCTTGACAAGCACAGGTCAGAGTGCTGCACCTCAGCTCCTGCAGGCTGTCTCCCAAGGAGCCTCACACTTACTGAGCGGGAGCATTTCTGGGGAGGGCTGCTGGAGTGGCCGTCCAGCTGGCCGTGCTCGCTCAGGAACCCCGTCACTTGGTCCAAGAAAGAAGTCACATCTAACTGGTGCCACTCCACGAGCTTCTGGCCTAGGGAACAAAAGGTGGCATCAAACAAAATTTCAGCAAAACGCTGCAGTTTAGTGGTCAAACACACCAACTCACTGCTGCAGGAGTCCCTGTTTGAGGAACTGCAGCTTCCCACAGGCTACCACCTGATAATTATGGAGCTTCCTCCTTCCACCCCCTTGAAAAGGGACAGACATGGATACAGACACAGTTTATTTCCATTCTTTTAATCTATAGGAATACAAGCACAGAATGGTGAATCTGGCATTGAAACCAAACCACTGAGTTATGAAGAAGCATTTCTCCATTCTTGCCAAATTGATTCTAACCCTTGGCAAACAGCATTTGTTCCCAGAAGGAAAGTGCTAAGAAGAGTATTCTAGCTTCAGCTGCAATATTAAAAAATGAATGTATTTTTAGGTGGTTGAAGTCAGCCACACAGAGGTCTCAGCTCTGATCAGAGGCACTGTCACTTCAGTCCCTAGGAACAGGAGATCAGACCAACATTATATAACCAGGCAGCTGCATTATATGATGATAAAATAAGCTGCTGGATACAAAAGAAAAAGCAACAACTTCGAAAGAGCTGGAGTTCTGGAGAGGGAGAAGTTTGATTGCTCAGGTAAAAAACAAGCAAAACAAAACAAAAACTCAAAGCCAAAATGGCATTTCAAAATTAAGAAGCAATTTAAAGTCATTGCTGAGCCTCACAAAACTCTGTGGGAGGAGCAGAAAGCAGATTCATGTAGCAATTACAAATATTGTAGTTATTCATCAAATGATTTCAAGAAGCTTTTGAAAGACTTAAAAAAAAGAATTCAGAGTTTTTCCACCAGATGGAACTATTTTCACTTTCTAAGCAGAATACTCTCTAAGCTTCAAATACACAAAATTTCTGCAAGTTTTGAGTGTTTCATTCTCTTAGTTCCTCTGGGAACACACTGAGTCAGTCCTTCAGGTCCTGAAGAGATTCTTCAGCCACATGTAACACAAACTGCAGTGGAAGGTATTCCAGACTACAACTGTCAGTGCTTGCCATGGGATAACTCCAGGCAAACCAGCTGCCACTTGTCTTACCTGTCCTGGGATCCAGGATGGAGACATAAGGAAAGTCTGCTAATTTATAAAACTGTATGTACCGCTGTCCTTCCTCGCTGTCATGGTACACCTACAAAATTGGGCAGATTAGTGGCTGGAGAGGGAACACAAACAAACTGTACCTTGAAAATGCATGGAGTTTTTCTCTCTTCTACAGTATAAACTGCAATTGCAACTGTATATACACAGTTATCAGTAACTCTGAAAAGCTGGAATTAAGCCTCTAGCTCTCCATGTATTAGAAACTACGTGGGGTAACATCTTGATTGCACAAGTGAAAGGCAGTTTATGCCTTCAAATGCATATCCATGAATTCCATCCCCATCCATAAGCTACATACACTCCATGAAACACATTTTTTCTGCAGGTTCACCAGGAGAATCCCATCTTTTCCAAATAATTCCAATTTTTTCCCACTGTCCCATTTACCAAGACACCAAGTTAGCCACACATCCCTCTTCAGGCAATTTCTCACCTGCCAAAAAATGAAGTGGTCCCGGATGATGTTCTTCACAGCCTCGTTGCTCCACACATCACGGTTGAGGCACTGGCAGGCAAAATCTTGCACGTTCTGAATGTTTATCATGAGCCACTTGTTCTGCATCTGACCACACTCCTTGGCCTGGAAGCAGAAGGAAAAGCTTGGTTAGATCAGGCTGAAGGGCCAGACAGCACCGATGCCAGCAATGATCAGAGATGGCTTCTACCACGGCCAGGCCTTCCACCAAACCCCTTCACAGTGAGGAGGATGGACAGAGCTAGTGAAAAGGCACCCACAAAACAGAAGGCAGGGCTGAAGGATCTGCTTTAAATGAGCCTGGTTGAATTACAGAATCACATCGATGAACAGAGCTGCTGGATTTCAACAAGCCAAGCACAGGGTGGGAAAAGCAACTCAGAGGGGGGACACACATGGCAATGCTGAATTAAGTATTTATTCAGGGAAAAGTGTAGTCAGTCCCACTGATCTGACAACAAAGACCTGCTCAGTCTAAAGATAAACCCGTGGACCATCTAGTTAAGTAGGTTGCATAATTGACAGAGGACTTGCATTGATTCAACAGGACCCCTTCTCTGTGTGTTTTCTTTTTCTCTCCGAGTTTTGAGTTACTCTGTGACTGTCCAACTGCCCAATTAGGCATCCTTTTTTAATGCTGCTTATCCAGACTGCAAGTGGAGAGGGAGACAGGAAGGCGCAGGAAAAAATCTTACTGGTTTGAGTCACAAAGCTGGCACTGTCTGATTGCCTGGTTGCAAGTTAATGGTAGGAGTTTGATCAAGAATGTAATTCTGATCGCTGAACTGTCATACCTGTTGAAAAAAAGAGGGCTAGATCAACAGCAGGAATGCTCTTACCACCTGGAAAGACTGGAACTGGTATTGGAACTCTCTTTGCTTTAAAAAAAAATTTAAAAGTTATGCTCACCATCCTGCTGGTAATCTACTGTTATGGAATTCAAAGGATAAAAAAATTCTGGGGAATCAGGATGTTATGCAAGATTTTGCTGTTTGGGCACTACTTTGTTCCCCAGACTGAAGTTTTTACTTTTGAAATCAATTTTAGCCAGTGTAGTTTGGAACAGTCTGCCTGTCCTGTCACTGTGTGACAGACAGACATGTGAACCCCACACACTCAGCTTCACCAAGGCAAGAATCTCAGCCTACAAAATCAGTCTGTGTGGCCAAGTGCCCTGCAGAGGCAGCTTTTGTATTACTCAAAGGAAAAAAAAAAAGAAGGTAGAAGCATGGAATAGTCCTATTCCCACAAGGGGCCTCACACTTACTACTTACCACTAAATTTACACTGCCAGCATCCAGGTCACCAGGTGAGAAAAATGGGGAAGGTGACTCCCAGGTAATAGGCAAGGGTCTTACATATAATTGTCATGCTTTTATTTAAAGGACTTGTTTTGAACTAACTGCATTTTGAGAAGTAGTTCTAAGAAACTAGTATGAGATGAGACCTAGAGGCAGTGCCCAAGTTTAAAGGGAACAAAAATTTTTATGTTATTTAAGTCAATTGGATTGCCTTAGTCCTATGTTCTCAGGCAGTCTGATAAAAGAACACTCAAAAAAACCCCTGTAATTAGAAAGCTGGAAAGTGCATCTCATTCTTCTACCCTCACTCTGTGTATCTTGTAATGTTAATGAAAACCTCTGGTTCTACCTTTCCTCTGTCCAGCTGAGAGCCTTGGAAGGATGCAAGCAGGAAATTCCACAAAGAAAATCTACAAAACTAAGCTTTCACCTGCAGAACAGGCAGAGCTTTTGAAACTACTTTTAACTTCCTTTTAAAAACAAGGTTTGGATTTAATACTTAAAAGGACACAGTTAAACTGCTGCTTTTTCCTACACAGCTCAAGGGATTCTTCTGAGGGTGTGGAAGGACAACAGTGTAAGAAAAAGAAACACTGCAGATTTGGAGATTATATTAGGGTCATTTTGGTAAGTGACAAGGCAACAACGGAAGGCTCAAGAGCTGGCTTGTGTATCCCAAAAGCTGGGATCTGATGGATTTAGGTCCTCTGTTTCCAACACCAAGTGCCTCCCCATTCCCCTCCTCCTTTGAGGTATAAAGGCCAGTGGCAGGCACTCACAGAGCCCACAGACAGGGCAGTACAGGGCAGCCACTCTTTGAGAGCAGAGCCAGTGAAGTTCAGATGCAAAAAACAACCCAAACCAATCCCATCTGCCCTAAGTGTGCCTTCACCCTTTCTGCCCAGTCACATATTTCACCATTACAATTTAGGGCAGCAAACCAGCAGCCTGGTGAGACAATCTGTGAGACAAGTCTTGGTTTATGCTCAGTGCTGGATCTCCCTGTGTAACTCTGGATCTTGCACTACTAAAAATAAATTTTCCTCTCATTTGACTTCTCTGAACATGTATGGTTTAGAAATGTTGGGGTGGTTCCTGCTGGCTCAGTTTTGTTGAAAAGCAATCCTTTCAAGGCAGGAGAGAGAAGAAGGAAGTGGACGAGGACCTTGTGATTCTCTGGACATTTGTGTGACTCAGTGGGGAAGATAACAGCTGACAGAGAGTCAGAGCAGGACATTATCAAACAAGAAATCTCCTATTTGGGCCACACTTCTCCTTCCTACCTGGGGCAGGGAATAGATCCTCTCAGCACTCAGCCATTCCTGAGCCACAACTGTACTGCAGCTGTGCTCACCCAAACCAGGCCAGAGGCACCTTCTGCACAGGTAATTGCTCCATTTGAATACAGTGACCAGGTCAGCTTCCAAATGATTGCTGCTTTTTAAGTAGAAACAAAAACCCCCTCAGTCTCAGCTGTAAAGTAGGGAGCAGCTAAAAAAGGTTATTGTTAAATGGGAAAAAGAAATCATATAGACAGACTTGAAACTCAGCAATGTGACACTCAGTCACTTCACTGGAACCCTGCTGAGTGTTAAGCACAGAACTGCACACACCAGAACCATCTCTGCCCACAAGAAGTGCAAGCTAAGTCAATTTGGTGTGTCCCCCTCAAATTCAATCATCTCTCACATCACAGGCATATAGAGAGAGAACACCCTACAATTCTTGAAAGCAGCCTGAGATGAGAGCAAAACCACACGCCTCTCTAACAGACATTTTTGGTGTGCAATTTATTTATTTTACTTGAGTGATTCATTCCTAATAGATTCCACATTAATGGGAGAACTCTAGTTTAGTCAGTCACACACTGAACTTTACAAGTACAGTGATCATAAGCTGTTCTGCATGTGGAGCACAATGCTTTTTCATATACAGCAGATAAAAAAAAAAACAAACAATGTCATTCAACACTCGAAAATTTTTCTGCCATGACGTTATCCACACCTATTCCTAAAGCTGGTGGTAACAAAGCTTCCTGGTTACTCAAGAAAAGTGAGGTTTCTAGGGGAAAACTGAAGATAAATACATGTACTTACTATCAAATCCAACCTTAAAGTACCCAAAGAGCAGCAACAGCTGATGAGCAACGAAGATCCATAATGCCAGATGTCACCACTCCTGCCAACAAAGCCCTAAATCCTAAATGGTTCTCTGATAAATGTGCATGGCTCAACCCTGGCAGAGTGTTCCTGCACACCCTCCAGAGGCTGAACACACCACACACCAACCCTGGAAAGAAAACCCCATTTAGATCAAAGCTTAACTACAAGAGCATCACAATGACAGGATTTAATCTTTGATACTCTGGAATGTGATGAGCAGCTCTGGTTTATCATATGATTTATATCCATTTATCTCAGCATACAGAGAAGGGAGAAGCCAAGAGCAGCTTGCTAGAGATGAATTTTGGGAGACTGTAGTCACTGAGGCCCTACACTGTCCCAGGCTGAAGCAGTAGAACAGTTTGCAGTCAGAAAAGGTAAAATGCAAAGGGAAATGGTCAACACTGTGAGAAGGTGTGGAGAGTTATATTGCAATGAAGTTGAGGAGGATCAGTCTGAAATGAAGGTATCCCACGGCACAAGGAACTGTACAAGAACAAAGCAAGGTGAGTGCCAACACCAGAAAGTATACAGGTCTTTAGAGTGCAGGTACTGCACAGAACAGGGCAATGTGAGTATATACAAACCCCTTCCCCAACCCCAGCCCACCCCTTTTTAAAATGACCTTTCAAGACTGAATAAGAATGCAGAAACTTTAGGACAAACAAATCCATCAGTTATTTCACTCTCTGACACTTCTGACTGTGACAGATCAGCACTGCTGAAGCCTTCACATGTTTCCAGCAAGACCCAAGGCGAGACAAGCCCCCACCTCAAACTCCACAGCAGAGCTCAGAAGGCACTTGCTGACTGCTCCTGCAGCAGCACTGGTTGTTGCCATGTGAATTCCCCTTACTGGTGCCTTTAACCACACATTTGCTGGTTTCACCAACAGCTCTGGACCCCAGGCCCAGCAAGCATCATCAGCTGGAACACCTGACACATGTCTTTTGAAGTAAACCCTGCTTCAGGCTGCTCCTCTGCTCCCACTGCAACTCCTTCCCAAGGTGGACACTGCTGCTCTCTGCCAGCATCCTCTCACAGCTGCAATGCTGTTAAGGAGATTGTGGAGGGCACCCTCAGAACACAGGAATTAGTGACAAGGCAACTGATCCCGGGTGATTTGGGAAGCATAAAAGAGAGATGAGGGTAATGGGATGAGAGCTGGACACTTCACAAAGGCACACAGTGTTCCACCAAAAGTTCTCCAGCAGTGCTCTTGTATTTGTGCACAGCAGTCAAGGCACTTGTGAAAACAAGGTATAGTTTTGTTAAGTGCAGGCCTGTGCAGTGGGTTCTTCAACATCTGTACTGAACCATTTAATCATTACTTTGCATTCTCATGCAGTAAAAATAATGATCATCTCCATCATCCATCTCATCAAAGATGACCAAGAGAAAGTTCAGTAGTAACTGGAATTTCTGAAAAATATCTGAAAATTAAGGACTCAAAAATTAAAAATATATACCAATCTGCATGTTCTCTAATCATTAGTTAAGTTATGGATCCACATCATAACAACTTAGGAATAGATCCACACATGCTTACACAGTCAGGAAAGGTGACACCTGAGACTGTTTAAAGCTGACAGTGTCCTGTATCTCTGGGATACTTTCCCTAGCACCACCAGAAGTAAAAGAGAACCACTGTGATTTTATAGAACAACAGCTACACTGACAATGAAGTTGTGGCTTGATGGCAAAATTGCATTCAAATACTTCTACTCACTCAGGTGTCAGAAGCCACTCAGCCATGTTAGCTCCACTTGAGCTTCTCAGCAGGGCTGTGCTGCAAACCACACTGCCCCTTGCAAAGTCCTCCCTCACCTATGCAAAACAATCTTACTCCAGCTTTTTCTGTATCTTCTATGGAGACAGTTCAAGGGATGCAATTTTCCCATTCTGACCAGCCTTCCTTGCTCACTGAAATCTTTCACCACATGAGATTTGCCACACTGGTATTGAAACATAAAACAATGTGGTCTGCATGGTGAGGAGTTGGACTCAATGATCCTTATGGGCCCATTCCAGGTGACACCATCATCAGTGAAGTCCTTCCATATATCACCAACATTCCTATACGCAGTCCATCAAATATTTATCACTGCCCAGTCTTTTCCAACCTCCTGATTGTCCAGCCATGGATCCATCCTGACACCCTCCCCTCTGCAAGAATCTGCACCCAAATGTGAGCCCTCACCGTTTCAAAGCTGCCTTTGTGCATCAGGTCAATGGGAGGTCTGAAGAGATCTGCCAGCGTCGTCAGCTTCTTGTCCACGGCCCCTCCGTTCCGGAGCTCCTGCTCCTGCCGGACTGCACAGCCCCACGATGAAAGGGAGTGGAATTAGACTACACATTCTCACAATGGGCATTTATTACTGCCTAAATGCTCAAACACACAGCTTCTGGGGTGAAATTCTCTCGAGCTCCCAAGAGGTTTGGGGAGAACAGGGCTAGGGCAGCTAGTGAGTGCAAATCCCAGGATACCCCTTACAGAGAGCCCCAGGGTTAGACCCCACTGAACAAGATTAGCTGGTGTGTAAGGGCAGAACCTCCCTGCCTCAGCTTTCTTGTGTGCTTTCACTTTTAAACAACACCTTAATAAACCTGAGGGGTCACACACTAATATTTGAAAACAAAGGAGCACAAAAAAAGCCATTACTTGTCCCCAGTGATGCTTTTAAATGGGAAACTGAACTAGATTGTCTCAGTGATCTGGTGTTTTTTTTGACTTCATGCCAAGGTCGCCGAGCCCACTGCCAGGATCTTGAGACAGCCAGGGCAGCCAGAGGGATGTCCTGGGTTCCCACAAGATTGTAGCAATACAACTTTTAAAAGTAATATTTCTATTGTAGTGTTTCCATTAGTTTGCTGTGGGGCAATCCCACAGAAAAGAAAGAAACAGTTTTTGTTTACGTGGAAAAATCTCTTTGGATGTTTCTTTTAAAGAGTATCAATTCCATCTGAAATAATACGGAACATATTTCTTACTCAGACAGGACCCTGGACAATAAAGGTAAATCACAGCAGATACATGATGTGTTTTATGGAACCAGGTCAGCTGAAATGGGCAATAACTATCCCATGGCCAGAAATTTTCCAGTGTGGAAGGAGCTGTCAATGGGCCAAAGCATAAAAACTATGCTTCAGCAGACACACAGGGAATAAAGCATCCCTGTGGAGCAGCCCTAGGATCCAGGAGATAATCTGGAATTTCATGGCCAGGGCTGCTTTTCTAGAGGCAGCCAGACAGTGACGCCCACCTGTCAAGTTCTGCCAAAAAGCACGATAAAGTTTCACCACAAATCCTTCTGAGTGTATCTCTAACATGTTGGGCATCTCTAAATGTCTTAAGAGTGGAATCACAGGGTGGTTTGGTTTAGAAGAGAGCCTAAAGATCAGCCAGTTGCACCCCCTCCTGCTATGGGCTGGAACACCCTCTGCTAGTCCAGGCCTGGAAGATGGTGAGAAAAAATTTAAGGGTATTGATTCTGTACATGGAGCATTTTCACTTCTAAAGCTGCCAGTGATTCCAATACTTGTTGTGTTCATTATTACTGGAAAAGGGGAAAGAAAGTAACTATCAACACCTATTTTCAGTTTGGCAGCCAACCCCACACTGTGTGAGAACATGGTCAATGGACCCCAGAAATCAGTGACAGGATGAGGAAACAGCCTCAGGGGAGGCTGAGATTGGATATTAGTGACAATTTCTTCATGGAAAGGGCTGTCCAGCCCTGGCACAGCTTCCCAAGGTAGCAGTGGAGTCACCAACCCTGCAGGGATTTAACAGACATGTGGATGTGGCACCTGGGGACATGGGGCAGTGGTGACCCTGGCAGCGCTGGGAAAACAGTTGGACTCAGTCTCAGAAGACTTTTCCAACTTTACTGATTCTGTGGTTACACCTCAGGAACACTCCAGCAACATCAGCACGACAGCCATAACGCAGATGTGAAACACCTGGTGTGCTGTCACAGAATCACATTCTTTGACACTGCCTGGATGAAACAACAGCCAGTGCTTTGGCATCTGGAGATTCTGTGCATGAACAGCCAAGGGCAAACAGCAATTAAAGCCACAAGAACCTCGTGCCCAAGGAAGAAGCCTCAGGGCTACTCCAATGTAATTCAAGTGCCAGAATGCCCACTGCCTAAGCAAGAAAAATATCCAGTGGATAAATTTAATTTCAACTTGGGTGTTAGGATTCTTCCCCCTTTTCAGCTCCCTCTGGAGCAGAAAAGGTGTTTTTTTGAGAGTTAGCAACACCAAAGCAGACAGAATATACTGTGATAATCATCATTCTATGATTCTATACTTTTAATAACGTACCCTGCTACACAATTGGCAATTTAAAAATGTTTCAGCAACTAAAAGCTGTCCTACCCTACAACAGGAAAGATTTCTCCATCTTATTTGCATTAAAAGTAATAAAATAAAATATCAGGCTTACTGATCTGTAGACACTTACTGGTTTCTGTCTGAAAATCCCGAAAGCCATCGAATATTGAGCGAGCAGGTCTGCGTCTTTTAGGAGCTTAAAAAAAAAAATCAAAGAATTACTTGAAAAGTATATTATCAAAATAAATGCATTTTAGTACTTTCCACCACATGTGTAAGAAAATGGAATAGGAACCCCAAGCAGGGACTATGTGGGAGTAGAGGTCATTGGGAAGAGCTGGAGATGGATGGAAATAGACAGAAGGCAATTTGGAAATTCCATCTCCTAACATGTCCTCCCTCCATACAAAACATGTATCAACAATACAGAGAGGTTTAAAGCCCCTTCTGATGGGTTCACCCAGGCCCTTTCGCATGAAGTGGCAGTGCTGTCACAGCATCACCTTGTCACAATTCCAGTCAAGATTTTATCCACGGCCTTCAAGGGGATGAAAAACTTCAAAAGATTAAATTCCATGAGCATTTGTTTTCAATTAAGAAGCACATTTGTTTTTTCTACAAGGCGTTTCTACTCTTTTCTAAACACTTATTCTGGTCCTGTCCCAGCTTCTTGGCTGGACTGAACAGCCACACTCTTCCAGTAGATCCAGCATTACTGTTTGCAAGGAAACCTTCAGAACTGATTATGTGCAGCTGGACAGAGCCCAGGAAGGTGTCAGAAATAGCACCCTCAAGTCCCACTGAAGTCCTAAGGTACAGCACAAGCACTGCACTTGGAAGGAAAACAGAACTGCCTGCCAAGATTATTCCAGTTACTTATCTCCTTTCCTATCAACTGAAAGATAGAACTGTCAAAGTCCAATTGCTACAAGACATAATAAATAATATACAAATTAAAGTCAGATAAATACAACCTATACCCAGTGGAAATGTAATGACACAACCTATCATGGAGAAAGAAAGCAAGCTTGAACAAGGGATGTGCTGGGGAATAACACCTCTCAACTCCAGGGAGTAAGATCTTCTTCACCCTGAGTGCTTAGGCACAAGCCAAGCTCAGAACAGCTTAAACTCAGTTGGAACAGCAAGTGAAGGACCACTTCAGCAAAAGCAGCATGTCCCTGCCAGGCTCAGCTGGAGCCAGGCAGCACAGGTGAAGAGGCTCGCAGCAATCCAGAAGGATCCTTTATATTGAATGATGGGCTCCATGTATCCAGCAGGGCACAAATACACAGGGTCACCTCTTCAGCTGGAAAACAACCACCTCAGCATGACCCTTGCAAACAGAAACTGCCACCTCTCCTGCTGTACGTGTAGAGGTGAGACCAATTATCTCTTCAGGTTCAGCTGCTTTGTCAGGCTGCTCTGTGCCAGAAGCACAAGTGACACTGGTGGATCAGTGCCAGGAGGGATGGCCAGTGTCAGGTCAGGGATGGTCAGTGACAGTGTGACTGAGATCAGTGTGTAACAGGTAGGCATCAGAACACCATTAGGATCAGAAGATATGAATCCTAATAACCCACAGGAGTCAACAGATATTGGTAAGAAACACTGCTGGGCCACAGGAAAAAGTGCAGCGAGCTCCTTTACCTTCAGAGAGGCATCAGCAGGGCATCCTCCTCTGGATGCACATTTCCTGCTGCAGAACTGCCCTCCTCTGCTACTAAACTCCCCACTTCCAAAATCCAGGTAGGATGGGAAGTGCAAGGATTAGATAAACACAGTGTGTCCTTGCTTTCATGTCACTGCATGTTATGGTTTAGACCTTCAAAGTCCAGCTTTACTGTTGCTGACAAGGTGGCCTTTCAGCAGCAAGGGGAATGGCATGAAATTTTATCAATGAAGCTCACAGAAGTGCAAAAACACATCAATGAAAGCAAATGCTTTGCATGTCATTCCCTTTTTGCCCAAATGCAAATTAAGTGTGTATTTCAAATTGCTTGTACTTTATGCATCTCACATCAGTATGTAGAAGTTAAGTTAGTCCATTTCAGTGATTCAAAGTCTGTCTAAGTTTTTTGATGGGACTGGGGGATGAAGCATATTAAAGGAGTCAAAATTTTCCAGCTCCCAAAACAGACAGGAAAAAAAAAAAAACCTGCTAGAAGGACTAAAACTAGAAAAACTAACATTGCTATCAGTACAAGTACAGCAAAAAGGGAAGTGGTATGCACCTGTATTGCCTGGCACTGTGTGCTCCCCCTGAACCACCCTCAGCCTGTGCATCCCACTTAAACACCTCTCTGATGCTGAATAACAGAGTCAAGAAAAAATCAGTTCCAGAGTAAACCTGGAACTTCTCCTTCTCCTTTCTAACACAGGAACTAAATGATAGGAAAACATTTCCCATGGGTGGGAAATGCAGCCATTGCAGTGACAAGCACTTGCACAGCCTTCCTTGGTGATAAGGGCAAAGCTCTCAATCCATCTGACATGGCAAAGGCCAGCCCAGAAATGACCTAGTCCACATGAGAAGGACAGAGACAAGAAAGGTAGCTGCTCAGCACAGCTTAAAGAGCAAATTAAATTCCTGCATGAGAAATGGAGAAGGGTATGAGCAATCACAGAGTTCAGCCCTTCTTTCTGATCTGTCATCTCGAGACACAGGCATTTGTCCTCTTCATTTTCACTTGTCAGCCAAGGCTCCATCTTCCACCCCAGCACATCAAACATTTCCACAGCAGTATCCCGCAGTTCTGGGCCCCCAGATGCATACTTAATTAAGTTAATTTGCTGCCACCTCACAACATCTCATGAAACAAGATTTGGCAAATTAGCACCCCTGGGAATAAAGCATCCCTTGTGTGTGAGGTTTTCAATACCAATGGTGTTTATTTCTTCATATTCAACAAGTTTTGATTTTCTTTTGTCACTTAGCTCACCTTAAGGTAAGGAAAACAGTAACAAAATAAGAACACAAGCCTACCTCCAAACAAAGGCTCAGGCTCTACTAAGATTTCTTGTTTTTGAGGAATTGGAGCTCGTACTTCATCTCTATCAAAGGAGAAAAAACAAAAAAGAAAATATCAGAGAGATTATAATATTCCAAGTACTGTACAAACCACATCTCATTATGCTCCAAGGCTCCTGTAACTTAGACTAGTTAAAGATGTTGCTGTACCATTGCACAGAGTGAAGAGGTTTGGATTAAGTGGGCTCTTGAGGGAGCATCTGTTCCCACTCATGGCACTGCTGCTGGACCTGGTACCCTGTGCACTGAGAGCTGGCATGGATGACCTTTGATAAAACATTGCACAAACCCCTGAGTGACTCGATCCCAGGCTTTGTCAATGTATATTTAAACAATTTTTGTTCTTGATTAACTTTGTTAGAAACTTGGAAGTTTTTAAAACCTTACCAAAAGATGTTAAATAATCCATTTGCCATCCTACTTTCCTTGCTAGCTACACAGAAAAACATTTTCTTCCTTATTACCAACTTTTGTCTGTCAGAAGATGTTTTGCTTCCACCTGAAAGTCACAGCCCTCTCTTTTCCAGAGGAAGGAAAACAAGGTCAAGATGGCCATTTCCCCCCATTTCTGAAGCAGTTCTTGGCTTACATAACTGGGCTCCCTCACATGTCAATAGCTCAGTCAGTTATACTTGCAGACACTTACAGACACTATCCAAAACTACAATTAGGAGAAGAGAGGAAACCACAAGCATCTCTGAGACAACAGTGTGGTCACCTGGCCCACGGATCTATGTGCAGAAGGATTCATCCATTGCTACATCCTGTCTGTGAACTCCCTCTTCCCCCAGACTTCCAAGGTGTGCAGCGTGCACTTTGCAGCTGTTGGCCATGCAGGATTCAAAAGGTAACTCAGGATGTCAGCAGGATGCACTGACCTTGCTCTTACCCTCCACATCTTTGATTGCTCTGTGCAGCTAGTCACTCTCCATTTGCACATTTACTGTTCTCTCTCCTAGGAGGAACACTGAGCTGATCAGCATCTGGAGGGTGTTGAGTATAAAAAAGAAAGTATTCCAAGAAAAGTCTGAAGTCACTGATGTGCCAGAGTTGTTTAGAAATAAGAACACTAACCTATGTACCTACTTTGTTAAAGGTTCAAGTAGGAAGGCATCTCACATCAGCTATAAAGGTTAGCATTAAAAGAATTACTTAAATTTATACATGTGCTTCAGAAGTATGAGAGGCAAGGATTTTCCTCTGTAAGTCAGCTGTCTTTTTCCTGGAGTGGAAGATTTTCATAAGGACAAAAACCTGGCTTATGTTTAATTTACCATATTTAATGAATGTGATTTATACCACTCAAGATATTCCCTTTATCTCAAGCAGTCACATTAATAGGCAGCACTGCCTATGCAGAGACTCTGCCATGTGGAAATTATCTTCCCTTTGCAGGCATCTGATGTGTAAGAGACTGATGAAGGTGCTGAAGTTGCTGATTCCTCTGCATACGGGTGTACAGGCCTGGTCTTTCCAGTGCCAAACTGGTTAAACCACCACAATAAAACCCTCACAAGTCAGACTCTTCTCCCAGGTAAGGAGAGGTAGGATGAGACTCAAGTTGTGCTAGGGGAGGTTTATGTCAGATATTATGGCAAATTTCTTTACAGAAAAGGTTGTAAAGCACTGGCACAGACTGCCCAGGCAGTGGTGGAGTCACAATTCCTGGAGGTGTTCAATAAACATATGGATGTAGCACTTGGGGATGTGGGTTAGTGGTGAACGTGGTGGTGGTGTTGGGTTGATGCTGGACTTGATGATCTTAGAGGTCCTTTCTAACCTAAAATTCTATGAATTTATGAAATGGGAGTAGATGGCTTCATTTGTAAGAACCAAACCAAGAGAATTCTCTAACTGCCAAATTAGAGTAAAGCAAGATTGCTGAAGCATTTAAAAATAAGACTCTCTTATTACTGGATCCCTACTTTAATGACTTGAGCTTTGTTTGAAAAAACCAGTAGGCAGTAAACTTCTGAAGTGCAAGAGACTCCCAAAGCAGAACACCCAGAAGAACGCTGCAGCAATCAACTGAGCAGTGTGTAAGGCTGTGGTGAGAAGTGGCAGCTGCCCGGTGTCACTGCTGTGCTTTGCACAGTGCCACCGGTGGCACAGCCGTGCCCAGGGTACGTACTCGGGGTGCGGGCGGGCGGCAGACACGGCTGCCGAGCTGGTGCTGGGCTCCTCTGCTATCCCTCCTCCGTCCAGGAACATGGTGACAGCCATCTCCAGGTTGTTGTTGCAGGCTTCCAGCATGTGCTTCCCCACGCTTTCACTGGCACCTGCAATGCCAAAGGGAAATCTCAGCGTTTTGGCTGGAAGCGCCCAGAACAGCTTTCTCTCTCAAAGCATTAATAATTAGGAGGAACAGTTCATCAGCTGCCATTTATCCCTGAAGCACAACTGTGAGAGGAGGCAAACTACTCGGCTCAGGGGGAAGGGAATGTTTGCAGTCAGGACTGCCGGGTTTCTTCCTGCCAGTAACTGAAAACCTAGAGGAAACCATCTGAGGGGTTTTAGCATGATCTGGATTTTCTTCTAGAGGTCAGACATTTTCCTGGTACATGGACCTGTTGGAATGAGTCCAGAGGAGACCACAAAGGTGCTGCTGCGAGGGCTGGAGCCAGGCTGGGAGAGCTGGAGGTGATCACCTGGAGAAGAGGAGGCTCCAGGGAGAGCTCAGAGCCCCTTCCAGTGCCTAAAGGGGCTCCAGGAGAGCTGGAGAGGGATTTGGGACAAGGGATGGAGGGATAGACAAGGGGGAATGGCTGGACACTGATAGAGGGCAGGGTTAGATGGGATACTCAGGAGAAATCCTTCCCTGTGAGGGTGGCAAGGCCCTGGCACAGGGAGCTGTGGCCACCCTGTCCCTGGAAGTGTCCAAGGACAGACTTGGAGCACCCTGGGACAGTGGAAGATGTCCCTGACCATCACAGCTGGTAGAACAAGATGAGTTTTTAAGGTCCCTTCCAAGACAAACCATTCCATGACTCTATGGATTTTTCAACACCAGCAGGCATACACAAAAGAAATGAAAACCTGACTTAACATTTTAACAGGAAGAATATTAAATCAGCTGCTAATTTTTTTTATCCACTTGTAACAGACATTTAGAGGAAAGAAAAGACACTCTGATTTACTGATTCTGCTGAAAGGCAAAATGAAACCAGCAGAAGCTCAGTTTATATAAGAGGGAAAAAAAGAGGGAGAAAGTAGTACTTTTCTACTGAGTTCTTTGTATAATGACTAACATTTATTCAAATCACAGACTCATGGAGCAGTTTGGGTTGGAAGTGAGCTTAAAGCTCATCCAGTTCTACACCCTGCCATGGGCAGGGACACCTCCCACTACCCCAGGTTGCTTCAGGCCCTCTCCAGACAGGCTTTGAATACCTAAAGTGCAACTAATCCCAGTTTTGATGTTGCTGCTCACAATGAAGCAACAGTTCCTAATATCACCTTTAAGTCTTTCCTCAGAGGATGAGCCTCTATGTCCCAGCTTTTCCTCAAAAAGCATCCCATCAGCAGAAGCTCCCTCAGGAGAAGAAGCTCTCCTGAAACCAAATTCTTTATAGCACCTTCTCCATAAGTGGTGGAGTGCCAAAGAGCTTATTTTCCTTTAGAAAGGCTAGTAGAGAGGAAGAGTGGTAAAATGCAGCTGAACCAGTCTGGGAGCAGCTTTGGGATCTCTAGTAATTCTTACTAACTCCACAGCAAGTCACCAAAATGACAAAAACACTTTGTCCAAAACCAGGCTCACAGAAAACATCAGTCTGGGCAAAACATATTTAGATGTTTCTCAGATTTTGTGGGAAAGACTCAAGAAGCTATGGTTTGAACACAGAATATACTTTGAAACTGTGGAGATCAATCAGTTCTAAATAACCTGCACATCAAACCACAGAGAAAGCCAAACTGACTGAGGGAACTGGTTTCCCAAAACACCCAACCTGCCACAACAAGCATGCTGGGATGACAGGCAGCTGTATTTTTAAGACCTTAACTGAGAGGAAGAAAGTGCAAAATAAAAACTAGTGACATCCCAAAAAATCAATGAGAAGTTCAGGTTCTTCACTCAAACTATTTTTTGGCATTTTCAGCACTTTTCAATGCTAACTGTAGCAATGAAACCACACCTGTGAGCCTGGAAAACATACACACCCCACTGTACACCTCACTGCAGAGTCATGCAAAGTCACTCATCTGCAAGAGCTGGAAGAAAAATGATAATTCAACTCTCTGCTATTATTTAAAGAGATACTGACACAGCAATGCTTTCACTGATTCCTCATCATTCCTGAGAAAAGTGCCAGCAAATCAAAGTTTTCAATCCTTGTGTTGGAAAACAGAAAATTCTAAATATTTGTTAAGTTTCAAAGCAAATTTCACAGATATCCCATCATTTCCTTGGGGAAAACTGATGCCTTGAGAGGCTGCCTAGAACAGAGGCTAGACAGAGTTAAGGAATAAAGTAGGTATTTATTAAAAGGCCTTCAATGGATACACCTTGGGCAGTGCAAGAGCCTGGCCGAGGCTACACCCAAGATCACGGACCCTGGGTCACGAATTTTCACACTTTTATAAGTTTTGGTCTATTTTCATATTGGGGTCAATTGTCCAATTACAGCTGCATGTTATTAAGTCCCATCCTCTCAGTCTGCTCTCAATTCACTGCTGGTTCATACTTTTTGGGCCTGAAGCTGCAATGGTGACCTTTGGTCTAGGGCTGGAAAAGGGTTGTTTTGTGTGGCTGAGCTGTGAGGAGAACTTGCTAACACTTTATATGAAGTTCAGAGTTATACACTAATGCAGCACAGAATCTGGAAAACACAAAAACTAAAACTTAAGGCAGCAAGACACACAGGAGTTACATTTTTTTAGCAGTACTTTCCTGGATGAGAGCACCAAAGAAACACAATTCTGACACCAGGAGCGAAGAAAAGCATCAAGGACTAATTCTCCTCATCCCTCATGCTGCAGAGTCTCTCAGCCTTTTCCCCACAGACAGGAGTGACTGCATACACTTACAACTCTGAGTTGAAAAAGCTACTAATACAAAGCACTGAGGTGTGAGCACCTGTCACACCACAGCAGCATTGGTCAGACAAGTTCCACACACTCCTAGATGCAACCTTAAATTCTGATAAAGGTCAAAACAGAACTTCAAAACTCCACGTAACAGTGGATGGCTGAAGCCCAGCAGGCTATTTCTTTTTTGGTTTTGAAAGCATAGAGGGGTTCTCTTATGTTGAGCATAAAACGTGTCTAAACATAAAAGGTGTCAGGAGGAGGAAACCTTTAGCACAGCTCTGCCTGTTCTGATCTGGGTTTTAGCAAACATCTCACACACAGGCACATACTACTGAAAATAAAATTGCTGTAAGTTCTTTTTGTTCAAAAGGTTTACTCTATAAAGATTCTTTAGGAATAGCTGAGAGATCAATAATCTTCCTGCTTACATCCTGTCGAGGATTTGAGTGTGTGCAAGAACAGGGACACAATCTGAAACGGAGCTGGTCTGGATAACCGAATTAGAGCAGTTTCGCTTCCCTTTGGCTGTTTCGTTGACATATCTTATTAACCACTCCTGCAGCATCTGACATGCAAAGCCATCAACCAGGGGTAACTGCGGCGAAGCAGATTAAACACGAAGTGGGTCAAGAGCTCCAAGCACACAACCCGAAGCAGGAGCTATCGCCTGACGCGAACTTCCACGCAAAAGCGACCAGCTCTTCTCGTTTGCGATTCAAGTGGCCCGCGCTGCAGGGTATTTCTGCTTTTTCAAAGGCGGACTCGGGGCTCAGCGCCCGGATCCCTCCCGGCCGTCAGAGCCAGCCGCGGGAGCGGGAAGCGGCTCCCGGGGCGGAGCGCGGGCGGCAGGGAGGGAGCGGGACACGGACCCGCGCCACCGGGACAACCGAGAGGAACCTCCGCGCCGCCGCTCAAAGGGAAGCGAGCTCTCCGCCGCGCAGGGAGCGGGGCCGAGCCGAGGCAGCCCCGCCGCGTTGGGCCCTGGCACCGCCGGCGCCCCGCGGGAGGCGCTCCGGGGGCAGGGGCAGCGCGCCCGGAACCGCTCCGCCTCGGCCCGCGCCTCCCGCCCCCGGCCCGCCGGCGGGGGGGGGCCGGGCGGGACCCACCCGCGTCAGCCCCGCGGCCTCGGCGCGCCCCGCGCCCCGAACGCACCGGTGATGGCGGTGAACTGCTGGACCAGCGCCCTCAGCGCCGCGGCGCCCGCCGAGCCCCCGGGCGCCGCCATCTTGCCGCCGCCGCACCACAACACACGCGCCGCCGGCCGGCGTGCGCTGCGCATGCGCGGGGCCCGCCAGCGCGCGCGCCCCTGCCGCCGCCCGCCACCGCGAGGGGCGGGGCTCGGTTGCCGGGGTAACAGGCCCCGCCCCCCGGCCGCGCGGGAGGCGGGAGTTGCCGTGGCAACGCTCTCCTTCCCCCCCCCCGCCGCCTCAGCGGCTCTCCCTGGGAACGCCCCCGGAATTCCCGACCCGCCGCTTCCGAGGGACGCGGGCCTTGGATGCGGACCGGCACTCTCAGGTCACGCACCCGGGGCTCCCACGCGGATTTACCCCATTAAAAAGGCCCGCGGCGCAGCGGGCCGAGTGCAGGGGAGACACCGGGAATAGCCCGGATCACCGGCACAGGCCGGGCGTGACCTGCTGGAGAGCAGCGCTGCTGGGAAGGACCTGGGCGTTCTGGCAGGCAACCAGCTGTTCCCGAGCCGGCAGTGTGTCCTGGGGGCCAGAAGAACCAGTGGGACCCTGAGGGACACTGCGAAGAGCACTGACAGCAGGTCAGGGAGTGATGCTGTGCCTCTGCCAGCCCTGCGAGTGCTGTGCCCAGCTCTGGGCCCCTCAAGAGAGGAGATAGTGGAGCTGCTGGAGCGGGTCTAGGGGAAGCTGTGGAGATGCTGAAGGGCCTGGGGCATCTCCCTGATGAGGAAAGGTTGAGGGAGCTGGGGCTGCTCAGCCTGGAGAGGAGCCCCAGCTGAGAGGGGCCTCAGCCCTGCCTGTCCCTGTCTGTCCCTGCCTGTCCCTGTGTGTCCCTGCCTGTCCCTTGCTCTCCCTGCTTGCCCCTGCCTGTCCCTGTGTGTCCCTGCCTGTCCCTGCCTGTCCCTGTGTGTCCCTGCCTGTCCCTGTGTGTCCCTGTGTGTCCCTGCCTGTCCCTGTGTGTCCCTGTCTATCCCTGCCTGTCCCTGCCTGTCCCTGGGTACAGGCAGGGCCAGAGCAGGGCCCAGGCTCTGCTCCGGGGGCCCAGCAATGGCACCAGAGCCACGGGCAGGGACTGAGCCCAGCAAGTTCCACCTGGACATGAGGAAGAACTTTCCTGGGCAGTGATGGAGCCCTGAACAGACCCAGAGAGGGTGTGGAGCCTCCCTCACTGCAGATATCCCAGAGATGTCCGGACACAATGTGTGCCATGGGTTCTGGGATGGCCCTGCTGGAGCAGATGGACCCACTGAGGTCCCTTCCAGCCTGACCCATTCTGGGATTCTGTAGGACAGGACCTGAGGTGGTCAAGGAATAGCTCACCTGCACTGGTCCAGGGAGCCCTGACAGGGCAGCCCTGCCATCACTGTCACAAAGCCAGAAGAGGAAACCCTTGGCTTTGTCCCCACTTGCCATACCAGGTGTTTCTGATCCCCAGGCCACCTGAAGAAATATCAGGAAAGGAATGTTTTACTCCTTTCAGTTTCCTGAGACAGCAGGAATGTGGCTGCCTTGCTGCTGAACACCCTGCCAGTAACACTTGTCAGCTCTGAGTACCACAGAAAGCTGAGATTTCCCTAGAATTCTAATAATTCATTACCTCACTGCTATGGAAACAGGTACATCTGTTCCCTCTCTTACCGCCTCTCATTCCCACACCAGCTCTGGTGCCCAGAGAAGCAACCAAATCTGTAAAGTATCTGTGGTTTTGGCACTTGTTTTTCCTGGAAGTTGGATGAGCTGAACTTGTTCACAAACAAGACAAATTAATCATCAGGGCTGAAGGCAGGTGAGCAGCAGTGAATGGTTACACCAGCCCAGACCTCTCAAATAGTCTCCTGCTTCACCAACAGCAGTAAAACAAAGCTGATTTCACCTGCCTCAAAGCTCCCAGACTATAGGGTCAGAAACAAGCTGCTGGTACAACCAAAATCCATTCAGCAGTGGCCAAATTCCACCCTCTAACAATGAAGACCTAAAAGAATAAGCCAAAGTATGCCTAGTGAAGATTATTGTGCCATGGATGTGGTGAGGAATGGGAT